GATTTATGAGATTTTTTTTGAGGATTCAATTCTTCTAGTATAAATAGCAGTGTTTGAAGCTGTATTTTACTATTCCTAACCGCAAAAATATTCAAAATTTTGCTTAGAAAACACAAAACTCAGAATTTTCGACAAAAAAATGGTCGATTTTCGATTTTCCCCGTTTTCGACGTTTATATAGGCTTTTTGATTGTTTTTCTGCTTAAAACACCGTTAAATTTTAGTGACAAACTGTGAAAATATTTATCATGATTACTAGACATTTCGGAAACTAATTATAAGCACCCCCGCCCCCCCGATAATGGAGAAGAAATCTGGAAAAGGTTTAGCAATCACAAAAATAGCGCCGTTTCCCTCTAAAAAGGGATTCTTGAGGTCAAAATTCCTGCTGCCTTTTTAGAAATAAACAAAAATGAAGAAACCACAAATAGCACGAGCTTTTCGCCTCAAAAATTCACTTTAAACCAAGCCGATTTTATTAAAAAATTTATCGAAAATGACCCGCGTGTAATAAATGGAGTGTATTGTGTGTGCGTGCGCGCAAAACGGCAAAATTTTCAGCCTGAACAAAACGGCCGAAATTTGTGTTACAAAAATGAGATGCAATTCGTGAGGGAGAGAGATCAGAGAAAGAGAGGGGGAAGAACATCAGAAAAACGGGGGGCAAACGAGCAGTGTCCATTCAATCGTCTAGAAATCGTTGGAAGAATCGTAGACTCGATAGGTGGGCAGAAATCCGCGTCCCTTGTGGGAATGGCTGGAGGTGGCCACGCAACACTCAACCATGGCTTGAAACGGGCAGACTGAAAAAGAGGAGTGTCCCGGTTCTTTGGCATTATCGGGGGGAGCAGCGAATTTTTTCCTATAATTCTAGAAGTTTTTAGCAACATTTAACGATACTTTAAGTCGAAAAACAATCTAAAAAGTTTCAAAAATTTTTTAAATAGAAAATTGCTCAAAAATCTATATTTTTTTTCAATCAAAATTTGGGAAAATTTTGAAATTTCGGAATACTAAAAACAGTGTAGAAATATTTGCCTTTTTATTCCTTAAAAATGCACCCCTTCCCCCCATAACGCGAAAGAACCGAATTCCCATTCCGAAATAATCACTGCCAGATTGCCAGGGCCAAGAGAGAAAAACGAACCATTTTCGGGTCAGCAACGTAGGGGCGATTAGACGAGCCATTATTCCACGCATCCCAGCCACGCGCTTGGTACGAGTCCCTAAAAAATTGTTGAAAACCGGCGCTTTTACAATACCGGGGGGGGGGATTTCGCCCATCAGTCCAAATTAATGTAATAGCAATTATTTTAACCTTGTTTTTGATGAATTTTCGACGGGAAACCCATTTAGAAAACCAGGAAAATTATAAAATTTAAAAGCTCGGTCGAAAACGCAAATCCAAAGTAATTTTCGAACAGCATTTGGCAAGTTTTTACACTCAGGAAACATAAAAATAGTGTAGAAACACTGAGGAATTTTTACTGATTTTTCTATGCGCAAAAAAATTAATTCTGGGTGAAAAATTAAAGGTTCTGGGGCATTATCGAGGGGCGCCTTTTCTCTAATATTCCTGTTTTCTAATTTAAATAGAGGATGATGAACTTTTTGGCTATTCCGAAAAGTAGAAAAATTACAGAAAATATAAATTTTTCGACAAAAGTGCAGAATCCCCCACCGATAATACGAAAGAATCAAATTAGGTACCCCCGATATTGCAAAAGAACCGAAAGGCAATAAAAATCAATAAAGCTAATAAAATACCTCGACCCGGTGTCATACGATCGATAGCGCGACCCGTAGTGTCGCTTCTGGATGCTGGAAAAGCGGACGTTTCCACAGAAAATGCCAAAATGCTCACGAGTAGGGGGCGAAGCGGCGGGCCGTCGACGAATAGGTGACACGGCTCGAGATCGGGGTGCGACGCTGTAAAGCAAAAATATAAAATATTTTAACAAATATCCTCACCGATCCGCTGCGGGCCAGCGATGAAGCGCCGTGCACACGAGAGGCTAAAAAAAGACCGGAGTTAACTTAAGTTTAAGAATCGGAAAATTTGCTAATTGATTTAGGCTATTAAGATCGGTGCTGGACTCTTAGCGGGGGGGATTTCTCGCGAGGGAAGCCACATTTCCCAAATAATCCCGTACGATTCTATAACAAATGCAACACATTTTTATATAATTTTCGACCGTTTTTAGATATGAAAAGCTATCACAATTTGCAAAAAAAAAAATCGAAAAACTGACTTTTTGTTAAAAAAATGTATAAGAAATTATCACAAAAGCTCAAATTTTCATTTTTAGCAATCAAACCCCGCTATAAATTATCGAAGGGACGAAAAACACCACCCCCCGCTAAAAGACAAGTACCTCCAAGCTCAATAAAAAAAAGATACCGCGAGCCCTGTGGATGCGGTGATTGCGGATGTAGGAGCTGCTTCGAATCGGCCGGCTCGGCACGTAGCGATTGCGCTCGTGGCGCGGCGAGAGGCCCTAGAAAATCAGAAAATCAAAATAAAACTAAGAATCCAGACCACGTCATCGCCATCAGAACCGCCGTCATCGTCATGTTGATCATCTTCCGATCCGTATTCTTCCACCTCCCATCCGTCCTCATCAAAATCCTCGTCCTCCTCCTCGATCATCTCGCACTCATCGCCCGACACGTACAGCGTATCGTTTCTGAAACGGAAATAAATCAGGTCAGGCTCAAAATGGACAGAAAGATAGAGTTCATGATGCTCAAAATTTCTCTACTTCTAAAAATTTACTATGTGCTTTTAAAACTCGAGAAATTTCGGCAAAAAAATGGTAAAAACGACGAAAACTGTGAAACAAGAAGATTTCTCGACGTTAGGCTTGCATATCTCACGTTAAAAAACGATTATAGCAAATTTTCAAAGCAGGAAAATGAGCTACATCTTCTGCTTCACATTTCAGTCAATTTTGAGTCGGATCTGCGTAAAAGTTATCAAATTAGAACTTTTGGCCATTTCGCATTATCGGGGGATGGCCGATTTTTTCCCATAGAACACCAGAAATGTCTAGTAACTTTTTGGTGAGTATTCTAATAGATTTTTAGAAAAATTTAACTATACTCAAGTGGAAAAACAATTCAAAACACGGTAGAAAAATTTTTTAGGCAAGATTTGCTCGAAAATCGGCCATTTTTGGTCGAAAAATAGATAATTGTGTATTTTTAATGAAATTGTCAGTTTTAAAGTAGTTGGAGTGGTAGGAACAATAAAATAGAGCTTGCCATATAAGGAAAACGCAATCCCCTAGAAAAGCTAGTTCCTGCCGATAACCGACCAATTCCTCACCGAGCCTTCCTGGAATGACGTGCCGGGGCCCAGGTGAGACGATCGCGAATCGACGTGCGAGCCACCTTTCGCTGGTCGCGGTCACGGCCAGAGCATGGGCGCTTCTAAACCCACAAAAATAAGACGTAAAATCACAATATCGCGAACCCTGCTGTCCATCTGCAGCGCTGCAAAGCGATCGCTGAGTGTACGGGTGCTGGAGCAGGAATTCTAAACGAAGACTAAAAGAAAATGTGCATAAAACGCACCCTTTCCAGTCTAATCTGCTCAAAATCGTCCTTCTCTTCAACGATGTCGACTTCTCCCTCTTCCTCCTCCTCTTCCGCTTCCTCAGCCCTGTCCGCGAACAGCGGTTCTTCGACGTATTCGGGCACTGACAGCTTCCTGGCTGCTCGACGCGGGCCGTTCAGGACGTAGCTGAACAAGGGAATCACTTTTCTAATTGAAACTCCACTTACACGGCCGCATCGTGCACATCTACTTGCATTTCCTCGGGCGCCGGGTTGTTGAAGAGCACTTTTCTGGTTGACATGCTGAAAAATAGGGATCTTAGAACGCCAAAAAAAGTAAATACAAAGAAAGAGCAGTTTCACGTGAAAATAAAGAAATTCTTTGAGGAAACGGCATTGGAAAAGCGTCGGCGTTTCCGCGAATTTGTTAGAAAGAGCAAAACGGCAAAATGCAGACTCGTTTTCAAAGCTAGTTTTCGTTTTTCGAAGAAACGCCCACTTATTACGCGACAGAGAGCATTTTATTGGTTGGCATTCCGTCAAATAGGACAAATAAATACAAATTTAAAAGGATCCTCGTTAAAATAATTGGCTTCTCTTCAATTTTCCTGCCCTGAAATGCCCGAAAAACCGTCACGAAACGCAGTCGCCAAAAATCTACAACGTAAATGCGTTAGAAAAAGGCAGCACGCCAAAGGTCAGTATTGTTTTTAACAAGCTTAATCTGATTTTACTTTCTAACTATGTGCGAACCGCAACTTTAGGTTCTTCTCCGGTAGCACCATCCAGAAAAGCGAAAGTTGTCCTCAGAAAATTCAGGCAAAAACACAAAGAAATCTCATGATGTGATCTACGAAATTTGTTGCGCTTTTTCGAAAGCGATTGCCAGCCGCTGCGCCACACATCGCCCCCCTGCCAATGCCGAACAAAAACAACGTGATTTTGCAAAAATAGCGTAAAATGATCAATTTTACTACGGTTCTAATACCCTAAATTAATTACACAATAGAATACATACTTCAATCCATTTTAACAATTTACAACGTTTATTTGATAAATAGACCGACAAAATTTGCTAATTACTGCAAAAATTCAAAATCTTCCCCCAGCCCATTCCACAACAATCCATGCGCGTCATTATGCATTGGCCCGTAGTTGGATACTGTATAAATGGCACAATTCATTTCATCACCACAAGTCCCTCCTATCCAAAAAAAACGAAAATATACAAAACGCGCGACGACGATGAAAAAAAGAAGGAAATGTCGACAAGTAACTCGAATCACGGACAATTCATCTATGATATACACAAAGGGATATAAATAAGGGAAGAGAGGGGAAAGGCACGCAAATACACATTCTGGGATTGGCTATACACTCAAACGGGGGCAATAAATGGCAGTTTAACAGACAGCGGCGAGCAGTCGTATGCATTCGTATTAATTCTTCTTCAGCTTCTTCATCAGACTCTCCAGGGCGATCGCTTTTTGCATGTTGCCCTAGGAAAAGAATAGATTCGTGTTTCTAAAATGTTTTTACTACCCCTAAACGTAAAAAATTTACAACGTTTTATCAAAAATACAAAAAATACCGAATTTTCGAACAAAATGGCCGTTTTTAACTGAATTTCGACTTTTTGAAAATTTTCAAAATTTTGTGAGATTATTAAAAAGTTAGTAAACACATTGCAAAAATACTTTCCATTAATTTATTAGGCATTTCTAGAATAATTCGTCCCCCCCCCGATAATGCGAAAGCACCTAGATCAAAGCCAATACCTTAATCTGCAGTTTCTTCATCGAAAACGCGACCAGGGCCGAAAGTTCACCGTTGAAAAGCCGCAGGAAATCCTCATCCGAGCACGAGAATCTGCAAGTTTAAAGCATTAAAAAACCAGCAAGAAATTACTCGACGTCGGCCTTCTCGGGTTTCCCCTCCGTAATCGATCCGGTCCCCTCCTTCAGGTTAATCGAAATCGAGCGGTTCACTTTGCCTAAAGAATTTTAGAAAAATATTGTTTTGAAAGTGGCTCTACCAGAGACGGTGAAGACAAAGATGCCGTTGAGCTTTTTGACCAACTCCTCGCTCAGCGCCGCTTTCACCACTTTCAGTACCTAAAAATAGGGTTCTATGGTTCTGGTTCTTTAGCGGGGGGGGGGTGGCATTTTCGTCGAGAGCTTATTTTGACCGGGAAACCAAACTCTTCGTAAATTTTCGAAGCTCTGTCGGATCCCGTTAACATAGTCGCGAAAAAAAGCGGTGACAATAAGCACCCCCGCTAATGAACCAGAACCGATTACATAACGAAAAGCCAGTTTTACCTTATCAATCTCCTGACTGACGACATCCTTCGTGATCGCTTCACGGGACGCCGATCGTTTCTTGCTCTTCGTGTCGTCGATTGTCTAGAAAAATCGAGGTAAAAATCAAAACTCAAATGTACCAGCTGGAACTGCTTCAACCGGTCGGCCGGCAAGAAGTAGTCGGCGATGAGGGGGGCGCCTAAAATTGCAATTTCTCTGAAAAAAACAACCAAAAATACCCTGCTTGACGGCATATTTGTTGAAATCGGTGATGCCCTCCTCCTTCAGCACGTCTTCGTCGATGGCAAAGTGGCCGGTGTACTCCTTGGAACGGCGGGACAGCATCGCGTAGGCAGCATCTAAAAAATAAGACGATCAAAAATGGTATGATTCTTCTGCATTATCGGGGTGGACGAAATTTTTTCATTGGATCCAAGGTTTCCAATAAAAATAGAGGGTGTTTCTAAGCGTTTTTTTACTACTTCTAAGCGTAAGAACCTTACAACTCTTTAGGTCAAACATAAAAAAAAACAAGATTTTTCGACGAAAATAGCAGTTTTTATCAAAATTTCGACTTTTTGAAAATTTTTGAAAGCTTATAGCAGTTTTTCTAGTTGAAATTAGCTTTTTTTGCTATTAAAATACTTCCGTATAGAGTATCTTCCCCGAAAATGCGAAAAACCTGAACCAATGGTAAAAACCCTAAAAATACCTGCAATAATGGCTGGATGACGGCACCCGTCCGCGCCCTGGCCGGATGAGAGCATGTCCATGGCGGCTGTCCAGATGGCTAAAAATAAAATAAAATTTGAGGATGAACGAAAAGTACCGGTCAACGGCCACAGGGCATTCACGGCGACGCCCTCTTGGCGGAACTCTTCGTGCATTCCAAGCACACACATCGACATCCCGTATTTGGCCATCGTGTACGCGACGTGACTCTAGACAAAGTTTCGATTCTCAATGCTTCTTTTTACCCTAAACCAGAGGGAATCCATGACGAGTGGAGGGGAAATGTTGAGGATGTGCGGGTTTTTCGCTTGTTTCAGGTAGGGCAGCGCGGTCTTGGACCTGTAAAGAGTTGGTGAAAAGATTGGTACTGGACTGTTAGCGACTTTTAGAAGGGGGAAACTAATTCTTGTGGTTTTTAATCACTAGACACATCAAAAATGTATCAAAAAAATTTCCAAAACTGGGCAATTTTTACCTTTTCTGGTCATTTTTCAAACATTTCTGAGAAAAAATGAGCAAATTTTATGAGCTTTATCTATCCAAAAACCGTAGAATATACTATATTTACTTGAACAATTTTATTTCCCCCGCTAACCACCTGTACCAAACGTTTTTTGAGCCCAAAACGCACATCAAAAAGGTGCCGCGCGTGTTGATGGAGTGCATCAGGTCGTAGCGCTTCATCTCCGTCTCCAGGGTGCCGGTCAGCGCGATCGCCGAAGCGTTGTTGATCAAAATGTCGACGCCGCCGAATTTTTTCACCTAAAGAATAGGGAATCGAGAAAAGGGCGTCCTTACCGTTTCCTGGACACAATCATTCACCGATTTCTCGTCACGGACATCAACGGCAAAAGCGAGGGCCTTTCCTCCGGCCTAAAAAACGTAATTTTGGCTCTTCCAAAACCAAAAACCTTCTCAATCTCCTCGGCGGCCGTGTAGATGGTGCCGGGGAGTTTTGGGTGCGGGGTGACCGTCTTGGCAGCTACCACGATATTCGCCCCATCCTTCGCCAACTTCAGCGCGATCTCCTTGCCGATACCGCGCGACGCCCCGGTGATGATCGCCGTCTTGCCGGCGAATTTGCTGGAAAGGGAGAATTAGTTCTACCAAAAAAAACTCAAATAACTGGCCAAAACGTAGCGCCAAAACTAACCCCGTGTTGAACATGGCGACTTGTGTTGAGCGTAGATTTTGCGCTGAAAAAGAAGGAATTAGGAGGAAGTTTGGGGGAAAGTGGGACAAAGGAAAGGGAGGGCTATCAGGGAGGAACGACTATAGTTTTTAGGGTGAGCAGGCTACGAAGTTGATCGAGCAAAGGGCACACCGGGGGTTGTTTTGACCGCGTAATGGATTCGTTGGGTGGAAAAGGAGAGAGGAAAGGGGGGAAAGAATGATGGAATCGAGACGTAGATAGAAAAGGAATGATAAAGAATCTAGTAAAAATTCAGAAATCAATATGTTTGAAAAATTGGAGGAAAAATGAGTGAAATGCAAGTCGAAAAATCCCGATGAAGGCTACGATCAGCGCCAATTGACGGAAATTCGTCCTTTGGAATGTTACGGAATGATCAAAAATTAGATTTTCGATTTTAAAAACTTTTAAAGTTTAAAAAATCGATTCGTTTTATACCTTTGAATTCGATCCGTTTTGCAAATATTTTAACCCAGCACTTCCAGAGAAACAATGCTGAACAAACTTCCGCTGCGAGTAATGGAGCGTATCCTCGAATTGCTCGACATCGGTTCCTACCAGGAATTGGCGTTTGTATCGCCAAAGATGTGGAAAATAGTCGAAGAGACGCCGAAGAAGCACGAAAGTGTCAAGATCTTTTCGGAGCCAAGCCTCTGGGGGCTCGGCTTCATCTCAGTTGATGGGCTATCCAACCCGATCTTTATGATTGTGCAATTATCTAAGCTACCACCGTACGTTTTCAACGTTTTTCACTAGACTTTGATTTTAGATGGGCCTTCAAAGACGGCCGTCCGACGCTTCAAATGCCCGCTTCAAACTCGCGAAAAGAGAGAATCGCTCGTTCATCATTCCTTCGCCTCTTCCTCAATAATGCCACCTGTCAAGATGTACTTTTTTTTACTTATTTCCTGCTATTTTTCAGCTCTTCGACGCGCCGCTCTCCTATGGAAACAAATTCTGGTGCTCGTTGAACACGAAAGTGGTGCGGCTGTGCAACCCGAGGATCGGATCCATTGCAAGGCTGCAAGAGTTTATTGGTAAGGAAATGATAAATTCGGAATAGAAGTTATTTCAGATCATTTCAAACCCACTGACTTCATCCACGACACATTTGCGTCAATTGCGATTAGAGATCGGGAGGATTGCGCCACGTTTTTGCTGAGCCCCGCGGTTTGTTTCCTTGCAAAAAAGGCACTAATAGATGGGTCTGTGGTTTTTTACCGGTTTTCGCTTCGGTTGATCCGATTCTTTCGCCTTATCGGGGGGACAGTTTTTTGTATTACCCTATAACTATGCCTATTAACTTCATAACAAGTATTTTCATAACGTTTCTAGTTGCATAAAACTGGATTTTAACTAGGAAACTATCCAAAAACGTTTTACGTCGTCGTTTTACTCCTAAATGTCAAAATTTTGCTAAAAAAACGGCCATTCTTTGTCTAAAAATCGATATTTTTCGTAGATTTTGATAAAAATTTGTAAAATTTTGAATTTATGAATAGTAAAAAACCATCTAGAAATTGGTTGAAACTGGTTCCTATGGAAAATTTTCTTCTCTCCCCCGATAAGTCGAAAGAACCGTTGCTCCCTAGGTTGGAACTTTTTTTTCGAAATTTTAAAGCGAGAAAGCGGGTGTTTTTTCTACAAAAATTTAGAGGTTTCTAACGGTCTTTGCAACGCGGTTACCTTTTAGGTCTGTTCGCTGGAGACACTGCACATCCAGCAGAGTTTCCGTATCCTTCCGTTTTTCGGCGACCACGGGGCGAAGGATCTGCTCGTACAAGCATATGATGAACCCACTGTCGTCGAATGGGAAGCCTTGGTTTGGTTTGTGTTGACGAGAATTGTGGTAAGCGTTTGCTTTTAACTAAAAATTGGGTCCTTGCGCAATATCGGGGGGGGGGGGAAGAAAATTTTTTTCTTAGGATTTAATTTTTTAAATATAATAAGCGAAAGTGCTTCTAAACTATTTTTTTTGCTATTGTTAAACTTAAAAGCTTTACAAATTTTCTAAAAAAAATACAAAAATATAGGGTTTTCGATCAAAAATGGCGGTTTTTGACCAAAACTTTGACTTTTTGTAGAAATTGTCAAATTTCTAGATGGGTTTTATAGTTGAAATCTAGTTTTATTAGGTTTTTTGATAAAAAAATACAATATATAGATTTTTCGGCCAAAAATGGCCGTTTTTTGACCAAAATTCCGACTTTTTAAATCGTTTTGCTTGTTAAAATATAGTTTTTACGAGGCATTTGTAGATTAATACAAAAAAATAATTTGTCCCTCCCCCCCGATAATGCAAAAGAACCAAAAATTGCGATAATTTCAGGCGTGGCTCGAGGAGAGGGTGGAAATCGATAAAATTCATCTGCTGGTCGGCGGCGATGAGTCGTGTCCAGAAGAAGCGGAAGGTATGCACACGCTTCTTTAGTCACTAATGCCGTTTAGTGATGACACAAATTACAAATCAAATAGCGCGTCTCGTGCTCAGACGTCCTGATCGGGGATGGATCGATCGGACATACGAAGGATTGAACCTCGTCCTCAGAACCAGCGATGTACGCGTCCGGTACTTGTGTATTTGCGGGGGGGCCTTCTATAAAAATAGAGCATTTTTGTATCTAGAAATGCTTAGTAACTTAATAGGAAGTATTTTAATAGTGTTTTCAGTAAAATAAACTATATTTGAACCGACAAAATTTTTTTTTTAATGTGAAAACCTCGAAATTTTGTTGAAAAACTTCCATCTTTGCTCAAATGCTATATTTTTTGTATCTTTCATCCAATTTATACATTTTTTGAACTTAGAAATCGTAAAAACAGTTTAAAAACGCTTACGCGATTTTTATTGGAAGAATTGGTGCCTAAGAAAATTGTTTATCGATTTTAGCACTCTAAAATTTCCAAATAGCCGGATTTTAAATTTTTTTTACCGAAAAATGCAATTTTAGGGTCAAGCGCTCGTGTTCTATTGGGATGCGGCGGACAGCTCGCTATTGCTTCTCCGTTCCGAGTACAATTTCCGACGGTATCCTCCTTTTATCTCAGCCAAAAATCTCAGTTTTTAGTGGTCGCTGCTTCGGCAGTTTTGAAAGAAATGCAAAGGCGCTGGCTGAGATCCGCGAGTTGATGGTCCGTTTTTAGCTCAATAATGATTTATTTAACCTTATTTCTAGCGAGACTGGCAAATTCAAATCAAGCAAAATCCAGTGCGGGTGGCCGAGACGAAGGAGAAGCTCAAACTGGAATGCGCCAAGTTCAACGACTACAACAGGGGCGCCACAACACAGGATTTATTGATTGACGCGGTAGGGACTCGCTTCTAGCATTGGATTTTGATTTCTGGGGTTCTTTCGCATTATCGGGGGGGAGGAGACCACCTTTTTTACTAGGATCCAATTTTTCAAATATAATAAATGACCGGAAGTGTTTCTAAACTATTTTTTACTGTTCCAAAATGGAAACACTTGACAAATTTGTATTAAAAAATACAAAAAATCCGTTTTTTTGGATAAAAAATGGCCGTTTTTTCACAAAAATTTCTACTTTTGATAATTTTTTGATCTTTTTAGATAGTTTTTCTAGTTAAAATATAGTTTAATTTTGTTAAAAAATAGTTAAAATACTTCTAATTAAGTTACTAAGCATTTCCAAATTAATACAAAAAATTCGTCCCCCCCCCCCCGATAATGCGAAAGAACCGTTTCCAGATCTGGCGCTCCACGTCGCAACGCCGCTCACCGTGGGCAAGATGTGGAGAGAATAACACGATTCTGAGGAGCGCCACCTATCCCGTCAGTCGAATAGCCTTTTTTGATTTGATTTTAGTTGGATCTCACGCTACGCCACGCCTACGACTTCGCAAAAGCCTACGAGGCGAGGGGAGAACTGCCGGATGTCGACGAATTCAAGGCCGGCAACCTAATATCGATCTTTGGCAACAGACCTATCGTGATTTTGTCGTGTAAAATTGTACAGTTTTTTTTTTTTCACGCGTATTTTGGTTCTTTCGCAATATCGGGGGGGGGGAAATTTTTGTGGGGAAAAACTATCGAAAATCGTTTAAAAAGCGTTTTAAAAGTCGAAATTTTTGCCAAAAATTGGCCAATTTTGGGCGAAAATCTATCCGTTTCTTGTTTTTGTAAGGTTTTTACGTTTAGGAATAATAAAAACAGTTTAGAGACACTCATGCCATTTTTATTCGAGAATTTTGATGCTAAAAAAATTCCCCCCCGTTAATGCAAAATATCTCGTGTTTTCTATAACCTAATCCATTGTTTTCGGGTTTTCTATGCTTTATGATGATGTTTTCACCTCTTTTTGCACCGTATTTCGCAATTAATAAATCGTTTGTGGAAATTGTAAACATTCGAAAACAGAGAAACCGTTTTACCAGTCAGAGCCGTATTTCCAGAGCTTCATGGATCAGAACTGTGCATGCGTCCGGTTTTTTTTTCAGCGAAACGATGCTGAACAAACTTCCTCCACGAGTGATGGAGACAATTCTCGGCCTACTCGGCGCCAATGATTACCTCGAATTGGCCAGTGTTTCCCCTCGAATGTGGAAAATTGTCGAGGAGACGCCGAAGAAGTACCACCATGTACGCGGTGCACAGGATCAACGCAGCATCCGCTTCACCGTCTCGACCGACCCCGAAGAAACGCAGACGTCAATGCTCGAGCTCGAGCAGGTCTACAACTCTTAGTTCGTTTTATAACTAAAAACCCGAGTTATTTTTGGAGCATGAGGCTCGCATTATCGCGGGGGGGAGGGTGTTACCAACTTTTTTCTGATGATGTAATTTTTCAAACATAGATGGCGCAACGTTTCTAAGCTGTTTTTGACTATTTCTAAACGTAAAAACTTTACAAATTTTTATTAAAAATCACAAAAATATCGAATTTTTCCACCCAAAATGGCCGATTTTTTTACCAAAATTTCTATTGTGTTACACATTTCAAACGTTTTTAGAACGTTTTTTGGTTGAAATAGAATCATTAATTGCTGAAAACACTTGCTATTAAGTTACTCGACATCTCAAGGCTTATACAAGAATGTTCGGTCCCCCCCCGATAATGAGAAAGCACCGGAATTTAGAATTTGTTCCAAAAAATGGCGTTTTGAGTGCGTATGACTATAGAATACGCTTCTAAAGCTGCTTCCTTGAGGCTTGCTGAAATGATTTTAGCGGTCTGGCGATGTACCCTCCACTGCCGTTCAAGCTTCCCCGGCCAGCCGTGGTGATTGAGCGCCTCTACGGCATCCACAAGCTAACCTACACCGACGTAACAATATTCCTCCGAATGTTTCTCGCCAATTCCACCGTTCAAGAGGTTCGTTTGGTTTTTGGGTAAAAATGCTGCCTTTTGCCGGGGGAACCCAATTTTCCCAGTGCTCCTGTACGGCCCTATAGAAAATATAGAAAAATTAAGCACCATTTTAAAGCATTTTACATGGTTTTGAGATATAAAAAACTCAGAAAAATTTTTAAATTTACAAAATTTTAAATTTTGGACTTTTTTACCAAAAATCTAAATAGAAAGGAGCGAAATAGGTCAAATTTTTCCAATCGAAAATTGCTAAAAACACTATAAAATAACGGTAGATATTTTCAATGGGCGGAAAAACAGAAATTAGTTTTCCCTTTTAACCCCCCGCTAACGGTCCAGTACCAAAATGCGTTCTAGGTCCGCTACCCGCTATGGTGGTTTGGGAACCGCTTCTGGTTGTCGTTGAACATGAAGATGACGCATATATGCGTGTCTACAGCCCAAATTGACGTCCCCGAGTTGCTGGAATTTATTGGTATGGATCTCATCTATTGGTAAACCTTTTCCGTAGATCACTTCCGGCCCACCAGCTTCTACACGAACGATTTGTTTGAAGACAGCGACGGTTACCCAGTTCCAGAATTGGGCCGAGGCTTCTTATCGGATCCTCTGGTGAGTGTTGGTTCTGGACTGTTAGCGGGGGGGGACCAATTTTCCCTGTGGTCCTTAACGGCCCTAAAACAAAGTATAAACCATTTTTATGGCATTTTACATAGTTTTTAGATATAAAAACAATATAAAAATCATAAAAATTTTGGAAATTTTTTACCTTTTGTCAAAACTGTATGAAAAATGACCAAAAAAGGTCAAAAATTTTCGAATTTTCAAAATTAAAAAATGCTTTTTTTAATTTTCTAGCGATCAAATCCTACTAAAAAATCAAGTGCCCCCCGCTAACAGCCCAGAACCAAAAGCAAACTAAATTGTGGCCAATTTTCAGGTGTGCTCGCTGGAGAAGCTGCACATCTATAGCTATTCGGGCGATCTTTGCTGGTTGTACCCGCTGCGTGCCAGAGATATCGTGATGGGACTCACCGACCGCAGATATACAACAAAGCTCGGCCAGCAGCCAATCTTCGACTTTCTGTCGCGCAAGATTCGGGTGCGTTTGGGTTCGGAAAAATCAACGGGTTCTTTCGCGTTATCGGGGGGGGGGAATAATTTTTTCCTAGGCACAAAATAGTTAAATACAAACAGCTGGTGTTTTTAAACTATTTTGTACTATCCCTAACCGTAAAAAACTTTATGAAATTTTATGGAAAAATACAGAAATTAGCGCTTTTCGATCAAATTTTCGCCTTTTAAGATTTTTCCAAGTTTTTAGCTAGCTTTTCTAGTTAAAATCTCGTTTTATTTTACTAGAAACAGTATGATAATACTAAGTTACTAGGCATTTCTAGATTAATACAAAAAATTTCGCCCCCCCCCGATAATGCGAAAGAACCAATAAATTATTTCATTTAGAACTGGTTGAGCGGCACGGAAGAAATCGACAAAATTCACCTGTGCACCGACCTGCGCCTCTTCGCAAAAGACTCGATTGAATTTCGGCCGTGTAAGGAAAGTTGGGGTTGTATGAAAATTTGTTTAGTCTTCAAAGCTCTGCCATTCCTAATCTCATCTAAAGTTGGATGGGTGGATCAGACATACGATGGAATGCCTCTCATTCTCAGGGCTAGTGATGTCAGTTTCCTCTTATTAACGCCAAAAAATCTACGTTTAGGGCCAGGCGTTGCTGATGTTTTTCGCAAGCGGAGATCGGTCCATCTATCTGATACGATGCGAATACAATTTCAGACGGTTTGTTGTATTTTTAAATCACTGAAACAAGCGCAGAAATTCCTCATCATTTTGTCGCTGGTATTTAATAGTGCTTTTGGTGAAATTTACTAATTTTCTTTGCTTAAATTTATGAAAAATCCTATCAAAAAATTATAGAATTTGCCGAAAAATCGTTATTTTTTTGTGTTTTTAATTTTGTAAAGTTTTTGCGCTTAGGAATTGTTAAAAAACGTTTGGAAAGACTTCCTCTATTTAAATTCGAAAAATTGGAAATAAAACAGCCCCCCCCCCGATAATGCACAAGGTCCAACTATATTTTTAGGGGTCGCTGCCTGGGAAGTTTTGAGCGAAACGAGAAGGCCCTCCAGAAAATTCGCGGTTTGATGGTAGGTTAGAAGTTACTTAGGATTTTTTATTTTTTATTAGTATTTGTAATTATAATTATTTAATTAATTTTAATTAATAATAATTATTTTAGTTAATTAATTAATTTAATTTTTAATTATTTTACTTAATATAAATTAAGTAATTTTTTATAGAGCATCGCCTCGCGTCTATCCTCACAAAACCCGGAACTGGCCAAGGATGCAAAGGAGAAGCTAAGGGAGGAGTGCATCAAGTTCAACAAGTACAACGAGGGCGCCACAGAACTGGACTTGCTGACGGATTCGGTTGGAAGTTCATCTACAGGCAATTAATTTGCATTTTTTGCAGATCTGGCGCTCAAAGGGCAGCGGGATTCGCCTTGGACGACGCGCTATCCGACTGGCGATGGGCAGTCTTGGGATGAGCCATATCCGGTGAGCATCGGTAAAGGTTACTTAGCGGGGGGGAGCGGGAAATTGTTATTTTTCAAGATTTTCCTGTTGTTTTGGAACTGCCATCGGATAGAGCTTCGAAAATTACCCTAAAATTTTGAATTTCAGCCCGAAAAACTTAACTTAATTTTTATTCCAATTTTTATTTGCACTTCATTTACAGCGATTATAAAAATTATTTAATGACTTTTTATTATTTATCATTAATTATGTCGAATTTCTTCTATCCTATAAGCGAGAAAAGTATGTCTGTTTTCTGTGCAGCCGATTTCTCGGCCGTCAGGCCGAATTCCCGGCTGATTTTTGGCATGGAGGTGGAGAAACACATTTGCCAGACACGCATTTTTTAGTTTTTCGAAATTTCTTGATTTAACGATTTTAGACACAAAATGGTGAAAATCCTTAGCAAACTGGGCGACGAGCCGTGGTGTTCGGGGCATAACTCAATGCCCATATGGAATTTCGGTCTGTAATTTGGACCAGTTATGTATTCGATAGTGGGGATCACGCGCATCTTATTATCTTTGCAAATTTTTGGCGCATTCAGCCTAAAACAGCGATTTTTGTAAAGTTACCAGAAAGCCTGCCTGCCGGGTTGAACCCCACCCCCAGGACAGAAGGGGCCTTTCCCGCCACCCGTCCCCATGCCCGCTTTGGTATAGTGGCTTGGCGCCGGCTCTACCGTGTGCATAGTCGAGAGTTCGGATCCTCGGCGAATGTACGTTTTTGCTTTTTGATAGTTCAACAACAAAACATATTTCGATGCTCTCGGTATCCGAAATTTCGGCCAGTCCCTCGCTCTAGCGCCGCAGGCCAAAGAAAAGGTCCTTGGCCCGGGCTCTAGCGCCGCAGACCAAATGCTGGAGAAAAACCAGTAGCTAGCGCCGCAGGCCAGAGAATGGTTCCTAGAGACAGGCTCCTGCGCCGCAGGCTTTGAAAAGCGGAAGGGGAATATATGGTTCCTAGACGGGGCCAGTGGAAAAGGGCCGCGAAGCGGTCTTTTTCCACTGGTTTTCAAATAATTACAATGCTATTTGAAGGATATTTGTTGCTTAATTGTAATGCAAAGTAAATATAGTAGTGGTAATAAAGAATAAATAAATTTTAGAAAAATTTAAAAAGAGAAAAATCAAAAATCTTTTTTTCTTTCGAATTTCATTCAATTAAGTTAATTAATGGAATCATAATTTTATAGGAATAAAATTAAATTTTAACTACAATAATATTTGAAGAAAATATATCTAAATTAATCGTTAATTAAATTAATAAAACAAAATTCAGGTTTTCAAACTAAAATTACCGGCCATTTTTTAGTAAAATCATAAAATAAAAAATCAATTAAATGATTAAAATATATTTTTGATTTTAGGTGGATATCACCCTCCGTCACGCCTACCAATTCACAAAAGCCTTCGAGACGAGGGATGTCCTGCCAGATGTCGACGAGTTCAAGCCCCCATCCGAGGACGAAATGTACCGGTGGAGGGGAAGGCTGCAGTGGAATTATTGTTATTAAACATGCATTTTGTTTGGTTTAGGATGTATTTTTATAAGATTGGTTTAGAAATTAGAAGATTGTTCTGTTTGGTTTATAAAATATTTTTGTTATTAGATTCGTGTTGTGGTAAATGAATTAAGGTTGTTCGTCTAGATTTTTGTTCGATTTTCTGAAATAAAAATAGCGTTGTGAATTTTAGGAAAGTCTTTCAGTGATTTTGGAAATTCTTGGAAGGCTACGACAACAGCCTCTTTACGCATGTCGTAAGTTGGATTGCTACGGAACAAATCGCTTCTGGACGCCGATAATAAACGAATGATTTCTAGCACCTTTTTGGCTATAGTTCAAGTAGCAAAACTTTCAAATTCGTAGAAAATTAAAAAATCCAAATTTTGGCGAGTTTTCGACCAAAAATTACATTTTTACATAGTTGCTGGGGAAAATCATTTATTTATTACTGGCAGTCGGTCATTTTCTTGATAAAGAAAGTGACATTATCATGGATAATATAGTGTCTCTCGGCTGTCTCTCGATATTGCCATTTGAATGGTCGCGTTCTGGCTCGATTATTCATCTCGAATACCATCCCATCCACCATCTGCCGTGTCGATGTCCCGGCGCGCAGTTTCTCGAGTATCGCCTAAATTTAATATTTACTTTTTTAAGGGGGGGCTTTCAAATCGTCCTTTGGCGACGGGGTTTGGCCTGACGGTTCGGACGTGAATTTCCAAATTCTAGCACTATTTCTGGAATTTTTGGGTACCATTTAACCCATTTTTTAAGGTTTTGGTGACCAAAATTGACCCCCGAATCGGCGATAGCATCGATGAATTCGATTCTCAAGTGAGGCGTTACGACATGTAATTCCCAAGCGTCAGAAAAGTGGCGTTTGTCCCCCAAAACATGTTTTGCTACTATTTTCGGGCCTTTTGCATTATCGGGGGGGGGGCAGCTTCTCCTATAAATTCAGAAATGTCTAAAAGCGTAATATTAAGCGTTTTATTAGCGTTTTTTGAAAATTTAACTATATGCTAAGTGGACAACAATAAAAAATAGTTTAGAAAAATTTTAGATGAAACTTTTAAAAACTGGTTATTTTCGTGGAACAATCCATATTTCTGGGGTTTTCTTCAAATTTTGTAAAGTTTATGGGGTTTAGAATAGAAAAAAAGAGTTTAGAAACGCTTCCTCTAGTTAGATTCGAAAAATTTGACGCGTAGAAAGAAGACCCAGTAATCAACGTACTTTGGTCGCCTCCGAAGTCAGTTTCTCTGCGTTGACGTCGTTGATGATGATGTCTTTCAGTTGGCCAGCTTCGGTCAAATCAACCACCGGATTGTAACACGACCCAGACCACCGATCGAGATCGTTGGGGAGCCCCCAAATTCCCCAATATGTAATAGTAAGCTTTTCGCATGATGGAGGGACCGATAGCCAACTATTTGTGAGGCCAGGGACTTGTGCCAGATGGATCACCTTCGGGTGGACATTCCTGAAAATCAGCAGTTATTAATTAATTATTGCCAATTTTCAATGAAAAATCTCAGTTTGGATCGAAAAATTGATTTTTTTCGACCAAAAATTACCAAGTTTTCGACTTTTTAAATACTTTTATAACTTTTTTTGAAAGTGTTTTTATTTCAAATATAGTGAAACGTGCTAAAAACAATATAAAAACACTTTATACGTGATTGCTAGGCCAACCGGAATCGCTAGAAAAAAAAATTTTGGTTTTGATGTTTTTTTAGTGATTTTTAAAAAATTCTCTTTTACTCTCTCTCTCTCTCTCTCTCTCTCTCTCTCTCTCTCTCTCTCTCTCTCTCTCTGTCTGTATATCACTCACTCTCCTACGCCCTATCTCTCATTCTCTCTCACTCCCACACTCTCTCACTCACTCTTTCGCTCTCTATCACTCTCTATCTTTCTCGCTCTCATCCCCTCTCTCACTCACACTCGCTCTCATTCTGTCTCTCTCTCTCTCTCTCTCTCTCTCTCTCTCTCTCACCTGATCATTTCCCTCGTTTTCTCATCAATCATTGCCGATGATACTTGTACTATTGTTGCGCGTAATTGCCCGGCCTTGGCGAGAAGTCCCAATTCTCCCACGTGAACTGTCGTAGACGTCTAAAATCGAGTTTTTTTGTAAATCTTGGCGGGAAGAGATTACGATACGCTCCGCACAGGCCACTTGCATTTCATTACTGTACTTTGTTACGGTTCTTTTGCATTATCGGGGGGAGGGAGCCGAAGTCTTTTTTGTATAAGTCTTGAAATGCCTGTTAACTTAAGAAAAATTGTTTTAATAGTGTTTTTATTACCTATATTTTATCTGGAAAAATTGTCTAAAAACTTTTAATAATAACGAAAATAGTCTGAATCCAAATCGATTTTTTTTGGTCGAAAAATGCTCGGGGGGGAAGGGGCTTTTTGTGTGGGCGGCGATTACATGTCGTAATGCCTTGTAAGGCCCTCGATCTCTCGATCTCGGTGATTCTCTCATCAATTTTCATAATTAAAAAGTCTGGAATGACCAAAATTCGGAGAGGATTCCAGAAATAGCGTCGGAATTTTTAAAATCAGGCTTTTTCACATCCAAACTGGGGCAAAATATCATACGACGCGGTCGCGTTGCGGCCGCATCTGGCTATTTGCCAGGAATCAACGCAAGGGGGGTTGTCCCCAGATTTCGGAGCCTTTAAGCTTTTGGGCTGTGGTATTCAATAAACTTACGGTTATAGTCAACAATTTTACGATCAAATTACGGCATTTCGCGAATTGTTGATGGTTGATTAGGCGGCAGTCGAGTTGGAGAAATGTTGTGGCCTGAAAAATGGCTGTGATAAATAATAAAAAAATAGCAATAAATAACAAAATTCACTAAATCAACAAATGAAAAATGATTTACGATACCTCGATATCTCCTTGATAAATGGCCAGCGAAAAACAACGCCATGTTTTGCAATGAAAACGGAAGTAGTTGTTGAATGTCGAGTGGAGGGATCGAAGTTCGAGGACAGTTTTCAGGGGTAATCGGTCGAGGATACGGTGTTGAACATCGAATGGTAGATCCATCGCCTGGAATTAAGGGATTGGTAAGGAAATACCAGAATAAAGAAGAGAAGAATAATTACTTGGAAATTGGAAAGGGAAAAGAGGAGAAGAATAATTAATTGGAGATAATGAAATATGGAAAATAGAGGGAAGATAAAGACTTTCAATGGTCAGCATCTGTTTCCCCTTTACTCATTAATAGAAATTTATCTTCTTTAAGATAAGGATCAAAAACTTGATTATGATAAAAAGTAAATTTTTTATCTGCCCGCCATTAATGCTAGAGAGAAATGGTTCTGCGTGGATGCAGGGCAAGTGTTTGAAATAACAGCAAAGAGCTGTGTTTTCTCAAAGACCTTAATAACCCCTGCTTTAGGTTGCCAGCAAAAGTGTAAAATTGCAGAGATTCTTTTTTTAAACCCTTTGCTCGGAGACAGGCAACAAAAATTTGGCTCTTTTCCCCAAGAAGCTTAGTAAATGTAAGAAGAATTAGCGCTTTTTTAAAAATCGTCGAGAACATATCTACTCAGCCCATCGAGAGCTTTCGATAGATACCTTAATCGCAAAAATCGGCCATGGCTGCGGGCCGCTAAAAAGGCCTCTTTTTCTTGGACATCCTGTAACGTGCAGGGTATCCCAATAAAAACATCATCGCATCATTCGAAAGCCCTAGAAGTTGCGACTTTGCAACAATTTTAAAAACGGTTATGTTATTTAAACCAATTATTTTACAAGCCATTGGCAAGATTTTCCGTTTTTTTTGGGGTTGCATACGAAGGTAACTTGCTTCATCAATAGATTGAAAAACAGAAAGTGCGTACCCCAGCTAAAAATGCCCCCCCCGCTAACAGACCAGAACCGAAAAATACAAAAGCAAGCAAAACAATAACAATTTATTTCATTATTCATTAATTCGTGGGTTTTGTGATGAAGAAAGTGACATAGGTATGGATGATGTAGTGTCTGGCGGCTGTCTCTCGATATTCCCATGTTGTTTTTCTCTTTTCTCCGCTATTCAGCACTTCTATCATCCCATCCACCATTTGTCGTGTAGATGTGCCAGCGCGAAGTTGCTCCAGAATCACCTAAAATTTTCATTTTTATTTTTGAAAGGGTCTTCAGATCACCTATCTATCTATCTATCGAACGACTGTAATCAACCTACTTTGCTCGTCTGCGACATTAATTTCTCTGTCTTGACGTTGTTGATGACGATCTCTTTGAGCCCTGTCGCGTCAGTGAGATCGATCACTGGATTGTACCTCTTACATTGTAATTGGTATGGATTCGTATTGATATTGTGTGGCGGGCCAGAAGCACAAGTCCAGCCAATCGTCATTTTCTCACAGGAAGGAGGCACTGACAGCCAACTATCCTCACGACCAGATACTTGGTTTATGTGAATCACTCTTGGACGGACATTACTGAAAAATACAACGATAGATAGGTGTTCTCTCTCGCTTCCGCTCACTCACTCACTCTCTCTCTCTCTCTCTCTCTCTCTCTCTCGCTCTCTTTCACTCTCTCTCTCTCTCTCACTCTCTATCGAAGTTTCGGTCAAAATCGGTCATTTTTGATAAAAAAATCTATATTTTTGTATTTTTTTAGTAAAAATTGTATTGTATGTAATTGTTTTCACTTTTAGGAATAGTAAACAGCAGTTCAAAGAAAATTCCACAACTTATATTTGAAAAATTAGAGCCTAAGATAAAAAATTAGTGCCCCCCCCCCGATAATGCCAAAGAGCAAAAAAGACTTACAGTAATCGTCACCAATTTGACGTCCAACGTCGAAATCGTGTGAATTGTTGTTGAGGGATGGTCTGGCTGTCCAGTCGGAAATGGGTTGAATACTGAAAGAATTATGAAGTTAACTCGAAAAAATCAATAGTATTTTTATAAAAAATCTGGAGCATTTTTTATAAAAAAGAGCTAGGTATTTTTATAAAAATCTGTCGTATTTTTATAAACTCTATAGTACCGTATTTCCTCTAACATAACCCTGGGGTTACATTCATTTAATCAGTGGAAAAAGACCGCTTCGCGGCCCTTTTCCACTGGTCCCCGTCCAGGAACCATGAATTCGCAGAGCAGCTTCTTTTATCGCCTGCGGCGCAAAAATCTGAGTAAAGTAGCCATTCGTTGGCCCGCGGCGCCAGAGCCAACCTTGCGCTAGAATCACGAGCCTGCGGCGCTGGTCTCTGGTTTTCTCTCCATGATTTGGCCTGCGGCGCTAGAGCGAGGGTCAGGCCTAAATCCCGCTCACGGTGAGCCCAAAAATAAGTTTTGTCGCTGAACTACCAAAAAGTAAAAAATTAAATTCGCCTAGGATCCGAACCCACGCCCATGCCCGTGATAGACCGGGCGCTAATCCACTACACCACGGGGGGGATGGGCATGGGCTGCGGGAAGGGCCTCTTCTCTCTTGGGGGGCGGGGGGGGAGTTATACAAGAGGAAATACGGTATTTGCCTAAAAAATCTATGGTATTTTTTTCGAGGAAAATAAACGATACCTTCTTTTTTCGCCGAAAAATGGCGAGCGAAGTAAAATGCTGGATGTTGCTGTGAAATTCGAAATATTTGTCGAATGTCGAGTGGAGATGTCGGATTTCGAGGACAGTTTTCAGGGGTAATTCGTCGAGGATACGGTATTGAAGGGCGTATGGCAGATCCATAAGATTCATCTTTTCTGGAATTTAACCGGATTTAGAAAGAGAATATAAAAAATTATAGTATAGAAAAGTGCTTAAACTTATGTAAAAAGCGGTAATTAAAAAACGGTAATAATATATTTTCTTTGAAAATAGAAAGAGATGTGATAATTCTAATTATGGAAATACGGGAAAGGGAAAGAATTTCTGAGAGGTCATCTGGCGCATCTGTTCCTTTCTCTCACACACTAATAGAAAGGTCATAACTCGCAGATAAGCCTCAAGACATCCGATTACGGTATGAAATTCGTTCTCGGCATCCCGTTGGCCTACACGGCTGTAAAGTATACCAAAATGTTCATTTTCTTCTGGTGAGTATTTTGGTATACTGAACACTACTGTAGAAAAAGAGGGGCCAAGACACAAGGTGCTAAAAACACAAAAATTTTATTTTAATTTGAAGGATATTTCGGCAAATTATCGATATTTTGAATTGATAAGAGTTGTTTGACGCACTTTTGAAGGGTGAATTATGCCATCTGTCTATCAGTAGATGAGCAGATGCTGATAGCTCTTCCCCTCGTCTTCTTCTTCCGCTTCCCCTTCCCCACTCCCTAAAATGCATCCATTCATTCTGCTGGCCATCCAATTGCCCTATTTATTGGCGAATGGAGAAGATATAGCAGCTGTAGCTGATGATCATGATCCTCGTGAACTGCTCGAAGTCGGCGTGTCAACAACTGAATGGATCAGAGAACAATGGCCATTATATGATCAATTCTGTCCTTTGGAAGAGGCTAAACAGCAACCATTCCACAGTATTTGTCAGGCCATTGCTGACGGGGATATTCGGAAAGAGGTCAGTTTTTAACGTTTTAAATTGCTTAACATTCTAAAATTGCGTAAATTGATCAATTTTTTGGGTGATTCCAGCAAACTGGCAGCAAGTACGTATTTTTCACCCTATAAACTGACCAAAAAAGGCCATTTTGCAGATTTTTTAAGTAGGTCCAATTAATCAATAGACCTTTTTTTACCTAAAAATTCGCATTTTCTGAATGTTTTAAGGTTTAAAATGCTAAAATAAGGTAAATGGTTCAATTTTTTGGTGAGTTTCTGCCAACTGGCAGCCAATCAATATTTTATAGACAACATTCACAGGTTAAAACTTCGGATTTTGGGTTTTTGAAAGCGTAAAAAGCTAAAATGCTGTAAATTAACCGATTTTTCGAAGCCTTTTCACGTTTAGAATGACCGAATACGATCAATTACCGATTTTGTAGTGAATTTATGTAAAATGGCATTCAATCTATGAAGCTAAGAACCTGGAACTCGTTTCAGCAAGACTACTCGGTGAATGTGCTGTCATTCCGCCATGCTATTCTCCTTCATTTCCCCCATCAAATAATCGATGATGGAGAATTGAATATTCTCTATCAAGCATTTACAGCTGATATTCAAGATCAAAAGGTATCTATTTATTATTGTCTCTGCTAGCTACCCCCCCGCTAATGCCACAATTCCCCCGTTGTTGCAGGCAGAATACCCGTATGTATTTGTGGAAGTGTGGAAACGGATTGCCCCCAGAGTTGAGAAGAGAAGGATGCTCATTGTCGATAGGGATCTCGACAACATCATCAACTCCGACATGTTCAACCGGTCATCTACCTGACGCTACAAACTACAGTTTTTTACCTTAAAATCCATTTTTTTTGTATTTTTTTTGATTTACATAATACAAACTTTATGTTTTTGGCTTCAGACTACACAATATATGTTTTGAGATGGCGAGTTAGTTAAAATACCCTGTATTCCATGCGCAACTACGCAAAACTACAAACTTCACCATTTCGGTGAAAATAGATTTTGGCGAAATCGCTAATTTTTGAGGACGAAAAACTTTCCAGGCATAATTGTGTATCTGTATTTTGGCGGGCAAACTGGACCTTGGGAAAGTCGGCAAGAAATAGCGGCAGTTTCGGCCTGAATTCTTCCAAAAATCCTCTATTTGCCCGCGGATTCGTTGGGAGCTGTCAAAATCAGGCGCCGACCGGGGGGCTGTCGATTTTCAGCGAATGCGACGAGAAGCCGAAGGAAAAGCCGACTCTTCTCTATCTTGCCGAAACGTTATTTATGCTCATTTTGAAATGTTTGAAATAGTTTTAAAGTTTGTTTTTGGCAAACTGCCACGCATAGATGGTTTCTAACTTATTTCTACGCCCATGTAAGCATGAAGAGAAGCCAGCGGAATTACACGTCGAAATCGATTGTAAGTAGTGCAATACACGGCAGGTTAACATTTCGAACTATCCTTAATTTTTTCTACCACTGGTATTTCCCTTTAATCGTTGGAATTGGAGTCGAATTTCGGCTGAGGGCGTGGCCACTAGAATAATTGATAATGGCGGGGGCTTACCTGGGGGACCCGCTTTCAATTGTTTGTTTTGTATAGAGTTCACACTCGAAATTGAATGGATAGAAAGAGAGAGCGAGAGAGAGAGAGAGAGAGAGAAAGAGAGAGAGAGAGAGAGAGAGAGAGAGAGAACGAGAGAGAGCGGAGTGAGAGACAGAGAGAGAGATTGAAGGGGTTAAAAGGTCCCTAGAGGCTTCTCGCGCTATATCCACACAAGGCTTTTCCCCCTCCCCCTCGCCCCTAAAAGCCGTTTCATCCCCCCCTGAGGGCACGAGTTTTGGCATTGCCATCTCTTCCCTTCTTCTCTACTCTCCAACCATAGCCATCCCTTCCATTTTGGCCACTTACGGGCCCTCACCCCCGCGACCACAAAGGCTTTTCACCCCCTCTTCCGCTTCGGCCGCCCTTTCGACCCATAAAACTACGCGCCTCCACTCCGGTGTTAATCTTGTTTGTTTTTGTCAAAAATCTTGCTGTCACACTCCCTTTAAAAGCGCCTAGTAAGCTGAGCCCCAGAGAACTTTTTTCCGCTACAGAATTGACTAGCGTGATCGGTTTGCCGGATACGATGTCAGCTCAATTCTAGATTTTCTTGGAAAATTTGAACTATTTTTGCGCTGACCGGTAACAGAGAGCCCAAAAAAGCTCGGAAAGCGCCGATTTACCTCGCGTAATTGATTTTCTTGGATATTTTTCCCACTACCAAACATTTTATTGGGTTTATTACTTTACTTGAAACTCCGAAAAAGCTAAAGATTTTTGAAAAAAAAATTGATTTACCTGACGTAATCGGTTTTCCTGACTTTTTTGATCAGTGAAGCCATTTTTGGGTGTACTGCCTGACAGTAAGCCGAAAAAGCCCAAAAAAATTCTGGAAAGTCGCCGATTTAGCTCACGTAGTCGGTTCCAAATTTGAATTTGCATAGTTTTTGGGTTAACTGGCGTACCGAGAGATTGACAGATTGACAGACAGACAGACGAACAGCAGAAGCAGAAGAAGATTGTCCCCCCCCGTCACATCGATGCATCTCCATTTGTTCTGAATGCACTCACTCCCCCTCTATTGCTCACTTCTTCTTGCCCTTCTGCTCCCCCGGATGGACGGGGAGGAGGACAACGACGTGTCTCTTCAATTATTCACTGCACACACTTCTCTCTCTCTCTCTCTCTCTCTCTCTCTCTCTCTCTCTCTCTCTCTCTCCCCTTCTATAGTTTTCGGGGGCACTTTACCTGGAACATCATAGAGTGCAGTCCCGCAATTTATGGCCCATCCCGACCAAAATTAAAGCATTTTTCGTTCCTCTCAAAATCACCCAACCGTTTGGAAGTCTGTACTCTTTTCTGGTAGCCAGTTAATGAATTCCATACCTTAAAATCGCAAAATCTCATAAAATCCACGATTTATGCTTTCATCTGAAGTAGCTTCTGGGTCAAACTGGATATTATTTAGTTTTTTTTCTGTCGCTTCACCTTAAACAACTTTTCTTTTCGGGATTCTCTGCCCAAAAATCGTTCTCGGGGTAAAGAGTCCCCCGGGGACGAATCAGAGCAGTGTCCGGTGGATTGAGGTGGAATCGGATTTATTCCGGGATCTGTTCGTTTGTCGGTTTGGCTGGATGTTTGTCAGTTAGTCAGTTTAGTTGCCGGTCAGACAGTTTGTAGGTCTATCTCTCTCTCTCTCTCTCTCTCTCTCTCTCTCTCCAGCAATTTTTTTTGACTAACTTTCAATCTGTGTGCCAGGCAACAATTCTAACCCCAGGAAAAGGCTAATATCTGTTCGTTTGTCCGTCTGTCCGTATGCCGACTTCTCCTCCTCCTCTTGCCCCCTTTTCTACGACTCCACAATTGCATTCCGAGATCCCCCTCCCCGTCCTTTTTGAAGCCGGCCTTTGTGCCCAAATGGCCGTGACTTTCTGAAGAAAGAGAGAGAGAGAGAGAGAGAGAGAGAGAGAGAGAGAGAGAGAGAGAGAAGCCGAGGCTAGAAGCAGCTTCTTCTTGTTCTTCTGAAGCCACAACCCCTTCCCCTTCCCTCCCATTCTTTCCAATACTCACAACTTCTAAGCTGCTGAGCTACCCTACCCATTCTTCTTCTTCGTATCTTTCCGTATGCCAACGACCTTCAATGGTGTCCAGATTGATGACCTAACCCTAAGCTGTCAGCCAGTGAAGCGTATTCTCGCGGAATTTTCAGGATTTTGGATTTTCCCCGCCACTTTCTATCGGGTTTTCGTGATTTCTACACGTTTTTTTGACGGTTTTAAAAGACTGGCAGCTAGCAGAGGCCCTTTGGAAAATTGTCGCTTCTTAAAATTTTTTTTTACGGCTCAAAACTTGCCAAAAAAATTAAAAATTAGTTTTCTAATGATTTTTGGTTTACTGGCTGAATTTTAGGTCGCTTGGGCCTCGATTTTGACTTCAACGGCCTTTTAAAATTTGGATAAAAGCTCGAATTTCGACAAACTGGCCGTCAGTCAAGAGAATTTTCCTGAAAAGGCTTGATAACATAAGCTTGAGGTAGATTTAGGGGCAAGAAGGGTCAGAATAGGCGGCGTTGGCAATTTCCCGTAGGGCACTTCTCGATCTCACTCTCCCTCCCTCTCTCTCTCTCTCTCTCTCTCTCTCTCTCTCTCTCGCCCTCTTCAAGTAGGAAATGATGGCCGAAGGGCCCGATGAAGCTCATTTTCTTCCCTTTTGCCCTCGCGACTCGAAATTCCGCGACATTCCTATGTACCCAGGCCGTTTTTTGTTGTATCACGTACGTTTTTTCCTTTTTACCTAAAGTACGGTTTTCTGGTTCGTTTTTCTGCTTTTTTGTAGTTTACAATCTATTCCGCTACACTCCTCTTTCCTGCTCGATATTCTTTCTTTTTTCCAGTCATGATGTGCCTTTTGGAATTCATGGCTTTTAGTCTCCTTTTTTTCAGCCGTCACCGCACTTCCGACGATGCGAAGGAGAAGAAGCAGACGATGAAGCCGCGTATTGTCTGTATTTCTGTGTGTCTCTACATTCTCTCCACTCTCTCGTCGACAGTCTCCTCAAATGACGGCGGGAAAAGGGCGTTGAACACGTTGGCCGAGTTGATCGTCGACAATTTCAACAATCACTCCCATGCTAATGTTTTGCAAAAAGTACGTTTCAGCGAATTTGTTACGCAATGTAAATATAGATGAAAGAATTGGATGTTTTACACGAATTTTCTAGATTTTTTTTGGTTTTAAAGTACCGTTGAAGTCACACTGTCAAAAAATTGACCGTTTGGGCGATTCAGTTACGCCATGTAAATGTTTTCACGCTAAACTGGATGTTTTTGGTGCGATTTTCAGGTTTTAAAGGACCATTGAAGTCAGAAAAAGACCGCAGGAATCGGGTGAAAATTCGATTACGCCATTAAAGTGCAGCGCGTAAAATGCGATTTTTTCAGGGTGTGGAAGAGGTGGAGCCCCGGTTGCGCATCAGATCAGAATCTGCCGAATCGTCGCTCATCTCGGCCACTTCTCGACTCACCAAGCTATTTGCCGACCGGAAGGCGGCGCTTCTGGTGGGCTAATTTGGTGTTTTGGTTTTTTTTGGGCACAAATTACAATTGAAGACTGATATTTGCACGACAGTTTAGCCTTTTTTAGGCATACGGTTGTTTGGGCGTTTTAGGAACTTTTTCTCTCGAAATTTATCCTTTCTGACTGCCATTTAGGCGATATTGACTAGGCTATTAGCTAGCTTTGCCCTCAATCCCCCTGGCCGGCCAGTTTTTCGATTTCCGGCCTTACTGGTCGGCAGATTAGCCAAATCTCACTAGGGAAAAGGGCTCGTGCTCCACAATTTTCTGGAGGGCAAGTTGGACCCAAAAAAAACTAGAAAAACGCAGCCTAAACAAAAATTTTCATTTTTCAGCGGATAGTGAAAGCAGCGAATGCGACGCTGCAATTCTACAAAGAACCCCTGCTAACACCCATCAATATCGGAACACAGGACAATGTGGGTTATCAACGTTGTTTAAAGGGGTTGGCAAGGAAAAAATGTAGATTTCTGGGTTGGGATTTTTCCGCCCACCTCATTGTGGCGTAATCGATTACGCGGTAAAATCAGGATCCAGCGGCGCGTACGCGTCGCGTGTCGCGGCGCCGCACTTTGCACTTATTTTGCTGCGCGTATGACACGCAACGCCCATACCCGCATATACATTGCGTAATCGATTACGCCCTTTAATGAAGACCTAGCGGCGTGTGTGCGTTGCGTGTCGCGGCGCGGCAAACGCCATTTGGAGTCCATAGCCAAAAATCTATAATATTCACACCTTTCGGGCCCCTTGACCCCAAATTTTCAGCCAAATTCGACATGTGCAAGTCAACTGGCAGCCATGCAGATCCGTGATGTCCATTTCCACAATCCACTCACCGATTATAATCGATCGGGTGTCCATCTCAACGTCGAGAGCTATGTTTGCGGTTGGTGTTTTATGATTTTAATTGCGTAATTGATTGTAAACTCAACTTTTTTAAGTTTAGAAAAGGATATCGGCCATAATTCGGCTATTCTGACAGTCGGCAAAAGCGATTCCAACCTTTCAAATCGAAAAATTCCACATAGGTAACGAACTAGCATCATCGATTGTGAAATCGATTTTTTGGCATTAGAAAAGGAAACCGGCGCAAATTTAGCTATTCTGACAGTCAGTAAAGTGATTCCAAAGTCTGAAATCCAAAAATTCTACTCGGGTAGCAAACTACGATTTTCCTCGCGTAATCGATTGGCTTAGAAGCCAGATTTCTTTTTTCACAAATGTTTCGTAATTTTTTGTCGATTTTCAGACGGTGCCGTCATCAGGGACTACGAATGGACAAAAACTGCAAAAATTGAAGAAGTAAATATCCATAAAAATTGAAATAATTGCATTTTTTTGTGTTTTCCAGACATTCGAAGAGAATCGAAACGATTGGCCGGATATTGGATATCAATATATCGGCACGTATACCGGGTTGACGAGGATGTTTCCGTGTAAGTTCAAATCACGGCATTTTCAAGGGCCATTGAAGGCAAAAATCAACAGCTATTTCAGCCCGGCCATGGATTCTGGACCCTCCCTCCATTACTGTCGATCTGTTCGACCCCCGTTTCCGTCCATGGTTTACCCAGGCTGAATCCATACCCAAGGATGTCGTCTTTTTGATCGATTTGTAGGTTCTAAATTTTTTAAAAGGTTCCTACGACTTAATTTGGTTAAAAAAGGTTTAATGGCTGGCAGATCGGCAAAAATGTCATTTTTGCTTGTAAAGATCTTTGATTTTCGATACTCTGCATTTTGACTTCGTAAAAATAGATTTTCTGCCTGCCAGAAAGATGAAAAATTTGAATGAGTTCGTTTTGAGGGTTTAATTTTGTTAGTAACCAGGGTTGAAAAGCCGCTTCGCGACTTTTCAACCCTGGCCCCGTCTAAGCCCATGAAATTCTGAACTTTGCACATTTCGCCCGATTGTCATTAGCAATAATGAAAAACGCTCTGTCATTTCCATTATATAGGCAATCGCCACTTCCGATGCGTGCTAAGTTTTTCCTAACAAAGAGGGCGTCCGTTTTTCTCAACAAAAACCTAATTTTAATGTCGAAAATAGCATAATTTGCAAAATCTTATCTGTGTGCAGTCATCTCGGAGGCATTACGCACCTAATGACGTATCTTACGTATGTTAAAAAACTTCCCCTTTTGAGATACTACTGGAACACGCTGACGGAAGTTGCATGCAAATGTACACACACACACACACACACAGAAACTATTTTTTATATATAGTAGGATAAGTTTAATGATTGCCAGCTTGCCCAAAAATGTCATTTTTTCTTATAAAATTATTATTTTTGAAATTTTGTAAAGCTAATTTAAGCAAAAATCAATATTCTGCCAGCCATTTAGCAAAAATAAACCTTAAAAACCATCAATAAAATCTGAATTTTTAGTTCTGGCTCGATGAAAGGCCCGACAATGCATCTGGCCAAAGTGACAATAATGTATATAATGTCTACCCTCACACCAAATGACTATTTTTATGGGGTAAGTTTTGCGTTTTACAGTCGAAATTAATCGATTAAATTCAGGTCTCATTTCAAGACTCATTCCGCCCGATTCTCCCCTGCTCAAATATCAGTTTTCTCCCGGCCACCACAGCGAATAAAAAGGTAACAATAATTTTATACATTTCAATGGCCAAATTGACATCCAGAAAACATTAAAATGAAATTTCTAAACAGAAATATGGCGGTTTTTATTTTTGATCGTTTTTATTCGCAAACTGGCGGCCAGAAAATCGAAAAATTCGGCTAAATTTCGAAAAAAAAACGTATTTTTCAAAAAAATGTCGGTATTTTCAGATTTTCTACGAGACGCTGGCGACGATTGAGGAGAAAGAACAGGCAAATCTCGGTCCTCCGCTCAATTTTACGCTCGAAAAATTGAGAGAGGTATTGTACTGATTTTTCGGGAAATTTAGCCTGAAAATGCGTCTAAAAAAGCTTACTTTAGCATTAAAAGTAACGATGATTTTGTTTTCAGTACATTCGGACTGAATCGCCAATTTCTACGCGTTCCGGCGGCCACAAGCTGGCCATGTTTTTCACCGATGGAATTGACGAATTTCCGGAACGGGTCGTCGACGAACAAGTCCACAATTTCAAAGGGGAACCTGTACGTTTCCGACGATTTTTTTGCTGGTTTTCGGTTTTCTGGCAGGCATTTATGCTTTTCAAATAGTTATCTGTCTTCCATAGTGCGTAAATTAATTTGTACGAGTTATTTCCCGTTTTGTCCTAACTGGGAGCCAGAAAACCACGAAAAAAACGCTGATTTCGAATCTACGGCGTAGAAAATACTTGTATTTTAATGATAAAGCTTAACTGGCAGCCATCAAAGCTGTAAAAAGTAATTCATGAACTGTTGATGTTTAAAAAACTATTTTTGGCTTTCCTAACAGCCAGAAAGTAGAAAAAACGCCGCCCCTTTCGTAATAACGCTTTTTACACACGTTTTTATGGTTCTACCAGCGCTGACCCCCCGCTCCGCGGGGGTTCAGCGCTGGCCCTCCCGGGGGGTAATAAATCAACATCCCATACACACAGGGAGAAGTCCGCCAGGTTTTGGCCACGTGGCCGCCAGCTTCCCGCCTGATGGCCGCCACATGGCCGCCACGTGGCCGCCACATGGCCGCCACGTGGCCGCCACCTGGCCGCCATGTGGCCGCCACGTGGCCGCCATCGGGCCGCCGGGTGGCCGCCACCTGGCCGCCACATGGCCGCCATCGGGCCGCCACGTGGCGGCCAGGTGGCGGCCAGTAGGCGAAAGTCCGGCGGCCACATGGCGAAAAGCTGGCAGAACGGGGGTTCCCGGGCCAGGTAATGCTCCTTCTAATATCGATTATTATTAATGCTAGTGCCGCTACTATGCATTACAGCCATTTAGAAGCAGCCTGCTTCATGTCGGGGATGCGCTGGAGGTGTGCCTGCCTGAAATATGGCGTTTTTATTTTAATTCGTCGTTTTTATATTTAGCTCTACTTTTTCTATGGAAACGGCTCTCGTTTTACTTCATACACATACTTACTTTCATCAGTGACCGATGTCCATTGCGTAGACAGCATCCGAAGTTGTAGAAACAAAAAACAAGGATTATAGTTATGGACCTACCGGACATGACTTACTTTTTTCACCGGCGTGTGAGCAGCAAAGTATCAGAGTCTTTGAGCAGCTCCTTCTGTTGCAGCCAAATAACCTATTGATGATTGAACCTTAATTATAGACTTACCCAGGATGCAATGCATTAAAATAAAAACTCACGGTTCCATAAAATAGAAACCAAAACTAAAACTAAAACAAAACTAAAACTTTATCAAAGAAACCAATAGCAATTGCTTACTAACCGAAATGCCATCTTCCGATGCTGTTTCCGTCACAATAATTGTCTTTTTATTTGTATCTATCTAAAATATAACAATCCTAAAGTAAATACAATACCTGAGAGAACAGACTTTGGTGATTAGTCAACGACGTGGCGTCTGTTTTCCATCTAAATAGCTAAAACTCGCAGTAAAAGTAAAGCAGAAATCAATTTACAAGCGTTTATAAAAAGTTTCATAAAAATAGATAAATTTAGCTTTGATGACAACGAAAACATTGACTCAGGCCCGAAAAAACGCCAAAGTCCCCAGAGCAACGCAATAGTACTATCCACAACTCACGGCGTCTTAGGCCTTACTTGGAGCGCGCACGGGGGAACGGGAGGGACTGGGCTAGGCCACGCCCCCTTTTGGTCCCCAAAATGTATGGGAAAAAGCTTTCTAAAGGCTATAACTTTTTTTCGAAAAAAAATTAGAAATGTTCCGCCTGGCGATCGATAGAGAAGACTATAGGGAACATTTTAGTCAAAGAATTTGGGCGATCGCCGGGAAAAATAAGGACTTGAAACGTTTTGAAGCAAAAATCAAGATTATTTTCTGATTCGGCCTCCGGGCCGCCCCCATCTGTTTAATTTTCTACCTGGAATTCGCTAAAGATTTGTTATCGGTGCCTTTCAGAAACTTGTGCAAAAAAAGCAAAACGGTGTCGCGTGTTTATGCGAGGGGAGGAATCGAACCAGGACCCCGCGCCTGTCACTCCGACCGCCGCCTTAGACCACTAGGCCATGCCCGTCCCCACCCCGTGAACTGGCGGAAATCGGGCGGAAACCTGGCGGCCACCGCCGCCAGCTTCTGGCCAAAAGCGGTACGACAGTGTACTAAAAACCCCTGGCGAAATTCTGGCGGCCAGGTGGCGAAAACCGGGCGGGCTGGCGGCCATCGGGCGGGAACCTGGCGGCCAGGTCTGGCCCGATGGCCGCCAGGTTTTCGCCAGGTGACATGGCCGCCTTCAGGCGAAAATCTGGCCAAAAGCTGGCCAAAATCTGGCGGACTTTCCCTGTGCACCGAAATCCCGAAATCCCGAAACGCCCCGGGCTCCCGGACCCGTCCGAACCGGTCCTGGGGTCCCGCAGCGATCCGGTCGGACGGGCGGGCGGGCGGACGGACGGGCGCACGGACATTAGAAATTTATATATACTCTGAATAGCTTAACTATCATCCAGTAAAGCTAAAAATTATCTCCTGAACCTTCCAGTACACAACTTTCCCCTTTACAGGTCCGAATCTACGGCTATGCAGTCGGGTTCGGTACTGGGCCACTCGAGTCTCTCCATCGTCTTGCCTGCCTCACAAATGCGTCTTCTGCCGTGGTGGGTCGGATTTCCACCAAGAATTCTGCTAGTTGTCCACCAGTTTGCAGTTTTTTCAATTAAATAATTAAAAACACCAAAAAAATTCAAATGTTGATTAAAATGGGGCTGTTGGTCGGAAAATCGATTTTTATTCAATTTTTAGAGCCAAAATTTGCATAAACCCTCTAATATTCAGGTGGACTCGATCTCAGATGTGAAAGCGCAGGGCCGTGCCCATCTCGACCATTTATCACGGCAAAAGGGCCGACGGATGCAACAGCAAAAACTGAAGCCCACGGTTACATGGTGCGTATCTTTATTTTAGTTTTTAAAGGGATAGTGCCAGCTAGATTTAGCGATATCCTTAGCAAAACTACTAAAAATTTGAATATTATATAGTTTTTCTCAATCCGCGGCGTTGGTTGCGGTGGTCTAGTAGATAGTGCGCTTGTCTTCCAATCTGAAGGTCCGGGTTCGATTCCCGGCCGCGTCAAACTTTTTGGTTTTGCGGGAAATGTAGTTCTCGAGTCAGTTTGAGGTGGACCAGGGTTTTTTGCCTGATTGAGACCCGAAAATTCCATAAAATTGTTTTCAGGTCGTCGCTGTACCAGGATGCGCAGGGGATCGGCCCCGTGATCTCTGTCTCGTCTCCAATCGCCGCAGGACCGGCTGATATTTGGAGGGGACATACGATGGCTGGAATTGCGGCCATTGACATTCATATTTCGGTTGGTTTCATAAAAATGATTTTTAAAAGTTCCAAACTAGAGTTTGAAATTTTATATGTTAAAATGTTTTCTGAAGTTTAAAATGTTCCCTTTTAGTTCAATTTGTAGCTTGTCTGCCAGTTGGGATTTTCCAGGAACACAAAAACAAAATTCTGTTATTTTCGGGGAAAATAAGTTTTTGAAAAATGTGCAAAATCAGAAATTCAATTTTGTCCAAATTTTCTCAAAAAGCCAGTTTAGCTCCAATTTTTAGACTTAATTTTGGAGTATACATGCCGGTTCAGTATCCCCAGGCCCTTAAAAAAAAATATTATGTTAGCTTCGGAAGAAATCGATTTTTGAAAATTCGGTAACCTGATATTTCGCTTTTTTAACTTCAAAATTTTCGCTTTTCAATTTTCTATTGTACTTTGTAATTTTCGCTTTTCTGACACCTACACCGATTCCTCATTACAGGAAATCACTTCCAAACTGCCAACCGGAGAGCAGTTGTACGCTTTTGTCGTTGACAACAATGGCATTCTCATCTACCATCCACAACTCCTCATTCCGGTACAATACTATAGACGGCTTGTTTTGGAATGTAATTGGGTGCTTTGGGTGTCAGTTTACGGGATTTTCGGGCTATTAACCCCGCAATTCCACTCTACACCTACTTACGCGGCCATATCCAGCCAAATTCCGCTCGACACCTGCTTACACCCCGCCATTTCTAACGATTTGCAGAAAACGGAAGTGCACGCGGTGCGTCGTAGTGCTTGCTATGATGCCGCATCTGTCAAGGTTTGTCTATTTCTATGATACTTACCGTACTAATGCCATTAAAGGACCGTGGAAGTGACCGTTTTCTGTGGCTTCTAACGTCCTTTAAAATCGGACTTTTCGGGATATTTCTTGAAGCCTCGGCCTCTTTCGGGATCTTTCCACTAGCTAACTACCAGTCTTTCGAAGCCTTGATTGAAAACGGAATTTAAGGACCGTGGAAGTGAACTTTCGCTGTGGATTCTGGCTTCTACGGCCCTTTAAAATCGGATTTTTGAGATCTCGATTGAAATAAAGACGCATTCAGAATATTGGGTTTGTCTGACTACCGAAATTCCCAAGCGTCGCTTGAAAACTGGATTAAAGGGCCGTAGAAGTCATTTTTCGCCGTGGAATCTGGCTTCTGCGGTCCTTAAAAATATTTTTCTTTTTTTGATTAAGCTGACTACAGTAGATGCCTATCGACACCATCGATATTTCAGTCAAAAGCGGGTGCAGGCCTGAAAGTGCAATATGGGCTGAGTGATGAGAGAGTTTTTCGGCTGGTCGGTCTCATCGACAGCATCTCTACTGTGGATATGGTAAGTCGGAATCGATAGTCTGGCTGCAAGTTTACAAAAATACATGTACGAAATTTTAATTTTATATATAAAAAATAAAACTTTAATTTACAAATTTTTGTGTTTTTAAAAGATTCAATTTAACCTTACAAAATTCACATTTTAAATCCGATGGTTTAGCTGGACCTGGAAGAGCGTACTGTAGCTTCGGAAGAGCTTCGAAACCGAATAATCGACCAGAAATGCGATGAGAAGCCGATACAAGACGTAAGTAGTTTCTAAAACTTGCCCTTAATATTTTAATTTAAGAATTAATACCCCTTTTTTTTGCAGGGTCTCGTCGAGTACTACTGTGCCGAAATCAAGGGATCTCCCTTTACGTGAGTTTAAAAAACTCAATTTTTAATTCATTAAAAATACCCGGGTTCAGCGAAAAATTTGCTATTAAATTTCTTTATTGAATTTTTAGTCTTGTAAAAATAGTTTCGAAATTTTGTTTGCTCTTTAGCAACAAAAACATTGAAAAAACTAGCTTGAAAATTTAAGTTTCCTAAATTGCTTGCATAAATTGCCTAGGTTTTCAACAAATAAACATTTAAAAATACAAAATTAATTAAACAGGTCGAAAAAAATATAATTTTAGTATCCTATGGTAATTTTCAGGCTAATAATCGTGAATCATCACGAGCGCCAATCCATTACCGTATCCCCGACAGATGAGAATGAAGAAGGAAAAGAATTCGATCAGCCAACGCTTGAACACAATATGGTCTCCACTATCATCACTAATCGGTACAACATTTCCATTTTTAAAGTATGAATTTAGCGATTAAAATATTAAAAATAACTTTAAAAAGCAGCAATACACTTTTAAGTAATTTTAAAGCCAATTTTGTTAAATTGTTGTCCTAAAAAGGTTCTAAAATACCCTCAATTAAGCGATATGAACTTTCTAATTACGATCAATTCTAAGTAATTAAATAAGGCCAAAAAACCAGAAACATTGCTTCAATTGCTAAAAATTTGTAAAAAACAAATAAAAGATTTTATAAGAGTTGCTAAACTAAAATTAAATTTGAAATTGGGAAGTTAAAAATAATTAAAACTTCAACACGATTTCTTGCTTAGCATTAAAAAAATAAAACAATATTTACATTACTATCAAATAAAGAACTTAATTTAATCCAAAGCCACGAATCGATGAGTGCCAAACCTGGGAATAAAAACTAGCGAATTACTATAAATAAGCGTAGAACTGCATAAAAATAAACTAAACTTTTTAAAAACCATTTAAAAAGTGTAGTTCATATCTTTTTTGGCTCCCCAACCGGCGCCGAAACGACCGATTATACGGGGAGCCCTCCAAAAATTGTTAACCCTAAAAGGTCTCAGTGGAGGCCCGGGTATCGGAAAAGAAAGACATCCAAGGGGGAGAGGGGGCAGGGATATGTCGGAGGGGTGGGCCAGGTGGGGGGGCCAGTCGGGAAGGGGCAGGGAACAGGGGCAGGGACTCCAAGGGCCAACAGGGAATAGGCCATATCCTTGCCGTCTTTTCACTTAGAAAGCTGTAAAGTATATCAAAATGTTCGTCTCAAGCAGGGGAACACGAATATCAAATTTACAAGGCTAAACATTTGGATTTAAGCGCCAAAACACCGCATCCAAAGTTCGAATAGTAGATGGCTGATATCTCGACTATTCTCTAACCTAGAAAGCTGAAAAGTATACCAAAATGTTCCCCTTTACAAGCCCAACAAAATTAGGACATTTACACAAGTAAAAATTTTGATCAAGGAGGAGATTTTTGGGTTAAAACGTTTCCGGGCCGTTTTGGTAAGCTAAATTCAACTTTTAGACAAAAATAACCGTACCATAAGTTTATTAACTTTTTATTTTTATTAACTGACATCTAGTTGACAGAGAACACTCAATTATTTGTTAAAAATCTCAATATTTAGCAAATTCCAACGATTGTTTGATTTTCAGCGAGTTGTGCCAGTGGTCCCTCGACGCGATCGCGCCGAAAGAGCGCCCCGGTCATATTCTGTCACATCCAAAATGTGGTGACGACCCTCAGCGGGATACTGTAAGGGCAATGTTGGATCTACTGGCTCCCTGGTGCGTCTTTTTACACATAAAAAAGCCCCCGAAAACACACTTGCGAATAGAATTCTCGAATTCCGAAAAAATACCGAACACTTCAGGGCTGTAGTTCGTAGCGCAAAGTGTAATTTGGCTGTCAGTTTGTAGTTTGTACAACGTTCGGGCCATCAAACTCTTCCAGTAATCACGAAAACCCGGATTTTTAGGATCGATTCGTGGCCGGAATCACTGGGAAATGTCTCATGCCCCGAGGTGCCATTCCCATCCACAATTCCGTCACGATACTTTGTCGTTTCATTTGCACACACGAGAGCGAGGGCCACGTCATATTATCCACAATGGTGAGTACGCAAAGACACGGTAGGACGCGGTGGGATACAGTAGGATGCACCAAAGTACGGGCAGGTACGCTAGGCTGGTTACACCAAGTCCGGTTCACTGCGTTAGGATACGTTTGCCTACGGTGAAGTACGGAGGTGCCTTGAGAATTTTACGGTAGAGTACGCGAGGATACGCTAGGATACGTTTCAGTACGCTAGGATAGGCTTGACGGATCGGAGAAGTGGGTACTAGGGTACGAGAGGATACGTTTCATTACGGTAGCACGCGGAAGAGTACGCAAGGATACTCTTGGATACGCTAGACAGTTATCAATTTAGCAGGACTTAAAAATACCTTTTTTGCTCGAAAAATCGGTTTTTTGACGCTGAAAAAGCGCAAAAACTAGCAAAATTCATCGCACAATTTCAGCGCAATCGAAACGATGAAAGTGGTGACGAAAAGACTGGACAAACAGGGCTACACCAAGAAGAATTCGACCGAGCTGGAATTCTCACTGCTTGGAACGGATCTAATGGTCACCAAGAGCTTCGCCGACAAGTCAGAAAACCCAAAAAACCCTTAAAAAATTCGATTTAGATACGGTAATCGGATCGGGACAGCGGGAGTGGTGTGGAGGAGGGATTTTGTCGAGAAAATATTCGCCAATTGGACCGCCGCGAATGCAAAATTATGGAAGGACTTTAAAAGGTACGCTTTTTTATGAATCCGAAATATATACTTTTGCACTGCTCTAAAATTAGCTTAAATTCGCTGAACAGCAGAAAAAAACCGCCCACTAATCGATTAATCGATAAAATTACGTTTATAAGCAATTACGCCATGAAATAACTGATTACGCTATCTTTTCGATTACGATCGCTTACGGCATAAAAATCACGCAAATTCAGTCTATTACGTGACCAAATTCAATGCTATTTTTTCAGAAACGCGTTGTTCTGGTGACAGTTGATGGATGGATATTGGGATCATCAGATGTGCAGAGAAAGGAGCCGCATTTGGCTGTGTACGATCCACAACTCTTTCACAGTCTCGTCAAGCAGAAACATGTCAGCGAGTACGTTTACACTGAAGTACGGTACTCACCGAGCGCTGGAAAACCTCCGGTTTAAATCGCAATTTTCTTTTGAAGGGGTGGTGACAGAGATTTCCCAATCCGATTACACGGTGTAATTATGGAATTTACCTGCTAAATGAGTGTGAAAAAATCGATAAAATTGGAAGCTGTGCGAAAATTTGTTTTTTAAAGGGCTCGTGACAGACTCGAATTTTCCCATCCGATCAGGGTTGTTCATTTTGGGTCCGGTCCGCGTCCGTCCGGCCCGGGACGCGGACCCGTCCCGTCCGCGCAATTTGCATAAAAAAATGCGGACGGGCTGGGACGGGTCCCCGACGGGCCGGACGGACGCAATGCAGGCTGGGGCGTCCGCGCGTCCGCAATGCAAATGACCGGAAGCACATGCAAAATAATTGCAAGCAAATTATTCGTCTTCGATCGATTGTTAATTTACATAGCTGCTTTACTTAGGAAAGCGGCGAAAAACGGTCATTTCATCAATTATCATGCAATTTTTGGCTGCCCGCGCTTTGCATTGCGGGCTCGGCTATTTCCGGCGTCCGCAGCCCGTCCGGCCCGTCCCGGACCCGTCCGAGCCCGTCCGCTCTCCAGGAGCAAATTATTCGGACGCGGACGGGTCCGGGCCCGCGTCCGTCCGAGCCCGTCCGTGAACAACCCTGCATCCGATTACGCTGTGGATTTGTCGATAAATTCCGGCGCTAACTGATAGTCAGAAAGACGGATTACACTCGCAAAACTCCGAATTTTAGTTTTAAAGGGGTGGTGTCGAAAGTATTATGCTCATCCTGCCCTCTCAGGAGTTGCCACCATAATACTAGCGACCCTCGATCACTCCTACCCTCGGATCATCGGAGTCAGTGGAGACTCGAGAATATTTAGGCCTTGTGTAAATGCCCAGCGAGTCACGAATAAGATCCAATGTACCGAACACGTTTGAGATAGACAAAAGGTTTATTAGAGTATAAGTGTCGGTAAGGAAATAGGGAAAATGGGTGTCGCGGGCCAGCAGGCGCCCAGGGGAGAAATAGAACAAGGTGTCGCGGGGAGGGCCGGATGTCTCTAGGAAGAGATCACCGGAAGTCAGGGATAAGGGTGAGCTGTCTACACTAGCTTAGCCGTCTCGGGGAGCGGTAGCCAGTGTGTCGCTAGAAGGCTTTACGCCCGATAGTGACGCGACACCAAAGAGCGGCGGCACTCTCCCTTTGGGGACAAAGGGAAAATCCCAGAGAGCCCGCGGGGGAGGAATATCCCGCGCCCAGAGGGAGCTCTGGACTACGGTAGGAAAATCGGCGGCCCCTGCGGGACCCACGCCCCCATCCACGGGATAGCAAAGATGTCTCGAAACTCATCTCCGATACTCCTAAAAAAGGGGTATCGGAGGAGAAAGTTTCGACACTCCCGGCCGCCGCAAGCGACGACGCGGGCGTGCTGACGCTTCCCAAGTGGAGTGGTGTCGCAAGTCGGGCAGGAGCCTCCGGGGGGCCACCAGAAGTCCGGGGGGCGGGTGGGGTGAGGGGACAAGTGATGTGAGGATGGGACTGTAAGGAAAAAAAAGGGGGAAAGGGAGGCCAAAGGCCATAAAAAAAGGGGGAACAGTCACATCCCTACTGGGCCCGTACCCGATGTGCTGTGGGGGAGACTAGGGGTGGGGAGGAAAAAGGAAAAAAAAAAACATACAAGGGTGTCAAGATTTGCGCTTGATGATGGTGGTGGTTGTCGACGACGGCTGTGACGCGCTTGACCAAGGTAGGGCAGTCGGCAGGGGCTTGTGGGCTCGCTTCATGTTGGCCTTGGTGTCGATGTTGAGCTTGAACACGTCCGTTGTCGACTTGACGGTAGTCGAACACGCATCTTGTCGCCCAAGTAGAGAAAAAAAGGTGTCGCATGTGCTAGATCGGAAAGAAGGGGATTCCTCCTGACCGACTTTACACAAAAAAGAAATGTCGTAAGGCAGTGTCGTAAGGCAGGGGAACGGCTTACTTGCGATCCGTGGAACGGTGTCGCGAACGAGCAGCCGAGAACTTCTTGTCGTCTGGGCGGCGCGAATCCTTCGGGTGGTCACGTTCCTTCAGAGTGGGACGAGGGGCCTTCTCCTTGCTCGGTGTCGCGAAGGAAGTGCTTGGACGATCGTCCTTCTGGCGCTTGTGCTCGATTTGCAGGTTTTCTTGGCTCGGACGCTTCCGACCGGTAGACGAGCTGGTGGCGAACTTGAGAGCGAGGTCGAAGGCCAAGGCGTGGATGTTGCTCGGAGCTGCGGCGGCGGCGGGTGTCTGCTCCGGATTGGGGTCTTGGAAGAAGGTGTCGACATCAATCTGGACCGGTTCTCCTGAAGTGATGGCATTGGTGAACATTTGTAGGCCGTTGCGAGGGAAGAGGGCGCGATTCCAGTTGACCAGGATATGGAGTGGTGGAACCATATCGTCTTCGTCCATGTCGTAGGTGCCAATTTGGGTACGGAAGAAGCGGCACCAAGGAAGTTGATGATCGGGGGCACCGCAGAATGTGCAGCGACCGTGCTTCTTGGTGAGGGAACAGGCATCCATCTGGTGTGGTGTCGGTATGCTCTTGCCGAACTCCCAGACGCGGCTGCGGGAGCAGATCTGTCCGGTGTTGTCGGAAGTACCCGGGCAAATTCCAGTCGCCTTGGCGATCGAGAGGAATGTCGAGAAGTCGGAGAGCACGTGGCAGACTTCCGGGCAGTGGAAATAGCTGCCGTCGCCGAGGCACGAGCACTTCGGATTGCTGTCGCCTTTGTGGGTCTCGATGTCGCGCTTTGCGTAGTAGGGCTGTCGCAGAAAGTCTTCGAGAGCCTGTTCAGGTGTCCGGAAGGGATCCTTGAAGGTGGATTTGTCGCCCAGGAAGATCCGTACAGCACGTTGGATGACGTGATCCGTGTTGCCGTTAAGATTGCGGTAGAAGAGGATCCAAAGAAGGTCCCAGCGGTGTTCGATGTCGACGGTGAGCTTCTTGTAGGTGAACTCCATTTCCTCGACGGAGTCGAGGCCGACGCTGCGTGCGCGCAGATAGGGTACCATGTCTGGAAAGATGCCGTCGCAGAAACGGTAATGTCGATTCCATTTCCGCACTGGTTCGTACTCCATGACGACTTCTTTCGCGTCTTGTCCGGGTGGGCGTTGTGTCGGCCGAGATGTGACACGAAATGTCGGAATCGTCTTGGTGGCGAGCAGCCATTGGATGTGCTGAAATTCATCTTCGCACTTGTATGCAACTGTCGGGTCGTCCCGGTATCGAGCCCACGAATGGTCTTTCTTGTTCGGCGGGTTGATCAGCGCGTGCCAGTGTCGCTTATCGGCTTCCGTCAGTTCGGCTGGTGACATCTGAGAGAAGCGAGTGTCGGCGCACCACTGTGGTAGCTCGCGGATACATTGACTGGGGCGTTTGCTGCGGCGGGTTTCTGGGTTCCACGGATGTAGTGTCGACTCGAAGTCCACGTTGTCGGGATCGGTGTAAACTTCACGACAAAACTTCATCAGCTCCGTGTCGTGGACGTACTCATCATAGGTGAGCGCGTGCTTCTCCGTGCCGATGGGTGGCAGGACGAAGTCGGGGTCTCGAACCCAGATGTGGGTAAATTCATCGGGGATCTTCAGAAGTCCTGGTCGGGCAAGGTGAATCGCTTCTAAGAACTCCTTCTGCCGGGTGGTGAGTGCTGCGATCACTACGGTGGAACCTCGGATGACGAGGGTGTAGCGCGGGATGTCGCGGAAAAAATTGACCGGCTGTCGTTGGGCAGCAGCACGCAGTAGGCTGGCAGGCTTGACCACCGTGTACTTGTCGAAAGGCTCCACGATCGGTGTCGGCGGGTGGATGACTCCGTGTTCGCAGAGGGCGTTGTCGTGTCCTGGAAGAGTAAACGCTTCGGATGGCGGCTCGCGCATGCGGTGTCGCTTGACCTGCCTCTCGCCTTCGCGGAAGTCGGATTGGTCTTGAAACTCCTTCTGTCTGGTGCGTGCCAGCTGTGTGTTGAAGTTCGACATGTACTTCATGATCGTGTCGAACTGTCCCATCCGGATGTCGCGCAAGCGTCGCTTGCCGTCAGCGAGTGTCTTACTCCAGGTGATTCCGTCTTGGGTGTGGTGCAGTTGAAGCTCCCTGCTTAGATTGGTGTGGAGGTCCAGTGCCATGAGGAGAACATTGTAGTACGCGGCATCCTTCTGAGCGAGCTCGTCGAAGTATTCCCACAGAGTGTCGATGATCCCGTCGGCTTGTGTCGCATCGAGGGCAGAGCTCAAGATGTTGTAGAGCACTTGTCCGCGGTCAGCGAAGAGGACGGAGGCGATGACATTCATCGACGTCAAGTTTCTGAAAAAGGTTTTGACGTTGTTCCGAGTGTCGTCGCTTGGATCGGCCATCATCTGTCGCGTAGCGTAGATGAAGGCCCGTACGATGTGTCGCCGACGAGGTTCTGACATGAAGAGGTCGTCGTCTTCAAGGCGCGGCCGGATGTTGATTAGCCAGGAGAGCTTCAACGGCGTGTGCAGCGGATGCGTGTAGTATCCTTTGGTGAGCACGTATTCGACATGGTAGCTGTGAAGATCAATGCAGGCTTGAAATTCGGTCTGTCCGGGGTTCCCTCCTTGTCGCCAATCCTTGATCTCGTACGGGATGATAACCTTTGGGGACATGCCGAGTGGAATGTGGTCGAAGGCGTCAGTACGAGGGTCGACAGCGAAACTTTGGTTGCCCGAGTGACGCATAGGAGGAGTGTCAATCCAGAAGGCGGGTGTCTCCTGGTAGACGATGTCTTGTTCTTGTCGCTCCTTTGCCTCCTCGTAGGCCTCTTGACCAGCTGCAACGAAGTCAAGGTCGCTCATGTCGAGAGGGAAGTCTCTCATATCGGCTCTAGCGTGTGGTGGGGTGCGGACGCCGCCCGAAACGGTGTCGTTGCGAGCGGTAGATGTCGAAGCGATCTGAGTGGCGGCCAGGGCGGTAGCTAAGCTGGCAGCATCGGATGGCGATGTGGATGCGGTAGTAGACTTCGGCTTGAGTTTCACCTCCGCGCGCTTCTCAGAATGAGCAGCACGAGCCGTACGATTGGAAGAGTGTCGAGAAGCGGCTCGACGGCTGTCGGTACTGGCGGCTGACTTGTGGTCGCGTGGCGTACTAGAGGTGTCGGAAATGCGACGCTCCGATGACGATGGTGAAGCATGGCGACGAGAAGTGTCGCGACGGCTGTGTCGAGGAGAGGGCGTGTGGCGAGAGGTGCGGCGAGAGCTGCTGTTGTTGTCGCTGCGACGCGCTGGGGCCGAGTGATGGCGGGATGAACCTTCTTGGGTAGATCGACCAGATGATGGCCGACGGGGTGGCGAGTGTCGCGCGCTGCGTCGGCCAGAGGTGTCGGCAGCTCCATCACGGCGGCGTGTCGGTGTCGCTTTGCGCCTCGACCTGTCGGGCGGTGGGCGATCCGAGTCGCGGCTAGGCATTGTTGAGTTTTCTGTAAGAAAACTAGAGTTATGGAAAGAGAACCAGAGAAGAGAACAAGAGAACAAGTGTGGAAAAGAAACAGAGATAGCACACGAAAGTATGTAGTATCTTGTGTCGATTTCCGGTGATGGTTATGTTCTTGTCTCGATGGAAGCTCCCGCTTGTTGATGGATGATAGCTGTCGCTAGTGGTGGAAACGCGGATGTCTGCGTTGAAGTTGAGGCTCGATCAGTGATACGGGTGATGAGACGGAATTGCATGATGCGTAGCCGATCCGGTGTTTGAGGCCGGACCGGGTGTCTCGACATTGCCCGTACACTTGATTGCCTTTCCGATCCTTGTGCTCGTTGTAACAGCAGCAGGATCTTCACAGAGCTGGCGCGGATCGAGGAAAAAGTCATCCTTGTAGGCGATGCAGAGTGTCGACGTTCGCAGCACATGTCGCGTTGTGTCGACAGTGTACAAGTTGTCTCCAGCGTGGAGATTACTGCAGTGTCGACGTGTGTAGTTCCAGCAGGCTGTCCGAGCTTGATGGCGCAATGCTGAAGTTGAAGTCACGCGGTGGTTGGCGCACTTGACGGCGCACGCAGTGAAGAAGTAGTAGCTGTACATCAGTTGACGGGCTCGGGCCGTAGTGCACACGTGTACTTGACATTGTTGCGTAGTTGTAGAGGCGCGTGTGGGAGTCGATTGTAGAGCACAACATTTTGCGGCGGTGTGTAGAAAAGAACCACTGACAGGCGTGTCAGGTGTCGCTCGCTTCTACACGATGTACGTATCCCACGATGTCTAAAGCACAATAGACTAAAGAAAGATTAGCTTTCAGTGTCGCGACCGAGGCGAAGCGAGTTGGATGGGCGGAGAGCAACTTGGTCGGCTTGTGGCACTGTGAAGCTGTCTCGCGCAGCGCATGGCACAGGCTTGATGTAGACGAACACATCCGGCAGCGTAGATTTGATGGCGCCGGGGCTGGAGAACGTTTGCGATGAGAGCTTGACTCTGTCTCGTGACCGCGTCCGATCGATGTACACTTCTACAGAAAGATATCTGAAAAAAGTGTCGAAAAGACGGGTGTCGGAAAAAGCTTCATCGTTGTCGAGGGAGACGAGGCTTGACGCAAACGGTGACGAATGATGCAGCTTGGGGGCCGGTGAATCGCAGCGTAGATGCCTTGAGAGCCATGAAGAAGAGTGGCATCACGTGGACGAGGCTTGAGATGAGTGACGACGAATGTCCCATCATGTAAATTGTGTCGCAACTTCGATACTTGGGTGGCATGATCGAGAATGATCGCCCGCTCAAGTGTCGCTTGCGTGGTGCGATGGAAACATGTGGCGTAGCTTCGTGAAATGACGTAGCGTTTGCCGCCTGGAAAAAAAATGTTATACCGAGGGCAGCAAGTGACACAAAGAAGCTTCCGGCCAATCGAAGCTGATGAGGCTTCAAGCTTGTGTGGAGTGGCGCAGTACGGCTTGATCACGTCAGCATGGTGAAGACGCAAGGCCGCATGATCGCATCCGTAGGAAGTGTGTGGCGCAACGTTGACCAACATCGAGATGTCGCAGCGCGGCTTGTGGAACACATGCTTGAACTGCTTCTTGTCGATCGGCTATTGACGCTTGCACTGTGACGCCTTGTGAAAAGGATATGTCGCTGCTCCATCCATCGATGTAGTGTGGGGCGCCTGGAAAAAAAGTAAAAACCATTCGGCATCGAGTGTCGATTGGCAGGCAGGGGAGCGAGATGGGCGCGGTACGCAGCAGCTTCACCACAGATGATGGAGGTGGCATCAGACAACTCGATCACATCAGGCTTGAACGGCTTGGCGAGCTTGCGTGGCGGCTTGAAAAGCTTGTCGCGAGTGTCGAATCATCGCCTTGACTGTTGTCGTGGAAGAGGCAGCCAGTGACGCAAAATTTGCAGCCGGTGTCGCTTGACGAAAAACTCGATGTCCGCCCGAGCGATGTCTAAATTTCCGAAAAACGGACTCCAAAAGGAGAAACGCTTTCAGCCATGTCGAGGAAAAAAGGGGGTGAAAGGCAAAAAATAAACAACTCCAAAATTGAAAAGATTGAGAAAGTGAAAAGAAACTGAAAAGACGAATGAAAATCCGAAAATTAGATGAAGTTCTCGAACGTAGGTGTTTTTCGGATCAACAAACGCATTTCAAATTCCTAATCACTATTGGCCAACTTTTGCGAAATGAATCGTAAGTGGCTCGCTCAAAAATTTCAAAAGGAGTCTTACTTTTTTACACTTCCAGTGTCGATTTGTCGATACAGAGAAGAGCAGCTTCCGAATACTGCGGCGTAGATTCCGAGTTGTCGGCGGCCACTTGTCTTGATCAACGGGGGGCCGTCCGTGAGCAGCTTGTTGTCGAATGCTTGACCAAGGGCGAAATCTTGCAGCATTCACGGGCGGAGTGTCGCTTTCGGCACGAATGCCAGTGTCGAGAAACAAGTGTCGCTTTGGCACAAGTGCCGGTGTCGAAAAACCAGTGTCGGGTGGCAAAAAATGCCAGTGTCGAAAAGCCAGGTGTCGAAAGACAGTGTCGCTTGGGAAATTCCCCGAACAGCATATGCAAAAGTGGTAAATGTTGTGAAAGAAAACGAGTAAAGTTGAAAAAAGAAATTGGAGTACAAAGTGACAAGAATACGGGAGCCAAAAAAAGAAATGGCAGCCGCGCAAAAATCGAGTGATCGCTGGAAAATCGAGGAGGGGCGTTCAGTGGGTTACGGTAGATTATCCACGCAATCCTTGTCGTCGGCGGTTTGGTCCGCTTTGCTTGCTTTCTTCGCTCGTTTTGTCTCGTTTCTTCGCACATTCGTTGTAGTCGATGTCGTTTCGGCATTTGCAACAGCGGTTGTCGAAGGAGGGGTGCCGCGCCAGAGGTGAAGTGTAGAAAATCTGTGACGAGAATAAGAAAAAATCCAAAAGACTCGTCTAGCACGTTGTTCCTTGGTCCAGCTTCTAGAGTTGGCTTGGCAAAAGTGTCGACTGCACGCCCTTCGTCCTTTCGCCGCCGCGTGTCGCTTCGTCGAGAGATCAACGGCATGTCCCAGGCGCACGATGTCTATTTCTTCACCGAGTGTCGCCTTGCCAGTCTGCAAAAACACCATTTTCCTATCGCGACCAGTCCAAATCAAAAATAGAACATCACCAATCCATCCAGTCCTTGTAAACAATCGAACACCTCTACGGTCCCTTGGAAATTCCTCAACCTCAGCGTCGCGCCTCTCCCACTATCAGGGGCGGCTACGCTTGGGGGCGACCAGGAAGAGGGAAAATCCAACTTCTCGCTTCTCAGAAACGCGTCATCGCGGGTAGATAAACGCCGAATCACGTAGAGCGATGCTCTGTCCGCGTCTACGGCCACTCCATGGTGTTGTATCGTCTTCTTCACGGCTCCAAAGGTAATCATCCCCTAACTTCGGCCAATGTGGGCTTTTGGGCAGCACGGCTTCGAAGTGCAGGATGGCTAGCTGGCCAACGTGAAAAGTGACGAATCCATCTTGTAGCAAGAGAGGTTGTCGCTCCGGTTGCGACTGTCCTTTTGTCGACGCCGAGCAGGGTGACTTGTCGACATACGGCAGCGTGATCAGCACTGTCGAGAACCATCTTGAAGAGAACTTGTGTCGAATAATCTTCATTGCACGATGTCGAATTTGCCAGCCCGAGCTTCAGGGAGCCTGTCAGCACGGCAACAGACGGCACAAGTCAGAAACTTGTTCTAAATCTTTAACGAGGACACAAATAGGGAAAACCAGGTAGAAAGTAGGGATGTGAACGGTACAAAAAATGGATCTTGACCCGGGTTATTCACATCGGCCGACGCACCATGTCGAAAGTATTATGCTCATCCTGCCCTCTCAGGAGTTGCCACCATAATACTAGCGACCCTCGATCACTCCTACCCTCGGATCATCGGAGTCAGTGGAGACTCGAGAATATTTAGGCCTTGTGTAAATGCCCAGCGAGTCACGAATAAGATCCAATGTACCGAACACGTTTGAGATAGACAAAAGGTTTATTAGAGTATAAGTGTCGGTAAGGAAATAGGGAAAATGGGTGTCGCGGGCCAGCAGGCGCCCAGGGGAGAAATAGAACAAGGTGTCGCGGGGAGGGCCGGATGTCTCTAGGAAGAGATCACCGGAAGTCAGGGATAAGGGTGAGCTGTCTACACTAGCTTAGCCGTCTCGGGGAGCGGTAGCCAGTGTGTCGCTAGAAGGCTTTACGCCCGATAGTGACGCGACACCAAAGAGCGGCGGCACTCTCCCTTTGGGGACAAAGGGAAAATCCCAGAGAGCCCGCGGGGGAGGAATATCCCGCGCCCAGAGGGAGCTCTGGACTACGGTAGGGAAAATCGGCGGCCCCTGCGGGACCCACGCCCCCATCCACGGGATAGCAAAGATGTCTCGAAACTCATCTCCGATACTCCTAAAAAGGGGTATCGGAGGAGAAAGTTTCGACAGGTGGAGACATAAGACCACTGCGTTTCCGGATCCGATTACGTGATGTAAATGCTGTTTTCTTGCAATTATCGCGCTAATCGGATTGACCCCACCCCTGTCAATCCAATTACGCCATCCAATTTCAGATCGGTAGAAAGAGACGTTCAAGGGGAATGCCCGGCCAGTCGTACAGCCCCATGGGCAAGTAATGCACCGAGAAGAAGAGGACAACTCAGGACAATCATTGACACTATTATACCAATGATTAGCGCCACGTTTTGGTGGGTCTAGACTTTCAAATGCTTGGCAATACGCCAACTGGCTGACGCGAAAGTTCTTGGTCCAAAAAGTAACAAAAGTTTTTGGAAATTTCAGGATTGAACTTTTTGCGGCGATGACTCGACCCGTCTTTGCACAACCAACACTCACTAAAGAGGGGAAATGCCAGTTTCAGAAGGTAAGTACTATCTATAGAGTTTGCTCGATGCGCTACGCACAGCAACCCTATACGTAATTCGCAGCCCTATATGCTACGCGCAGTTTGAATTCGGCGCTACGCGACACGCTACGCAACGCGACACAACTCGATGCGCTACGCACAGCTACAGGCGATGTCAAACGCAATGCGCAACGCGCAGCGCAACTCGTAAAGCGACTCTCCGCGCCATACGCAGCGCAACACGCAACGCGACACGAGACTTGAGGGGCGTCGCGATGCGCTACGCTTCTGTGACGCTACGCCGTACGCAGGCGTATGAAATTCCATTGCGTAACCGATTACGACCCGAATAATCCCGCAAAAGGCCTTGCTTGTAGAGTTTGGATTTTTTGCAGGTGAAACCGTTCGAGCGTTGCGTCGTGGAAAGAGCCATCTACGAATTACAGTTGGCTGATGATCGACAGTATGATATTCATGATGGAGCATGCCAAAGGTATTTCTCTCTCCTCTCTCTCTCTCTCTCTCTCTCTCTCTCTCTCTCTCTCTCTCTCTCTCGCTCTCGCTCTCACTCTCTCTCACCCCTGCCGTTTCAGATCCCTCTCAGTCCATCGTCTCCCCTCCACCAATCTGCTGCTCCTTTCGTTCGATTCCCCCTGTGGATTCCGTTCTCCTACAGTACGCCCGAAACCCTACAAACCCAAGAAAGGTATCGATTACGCCATGTAATTACGGTTTTCTGCAAATTTCCGTATTAAATGACTGTCAGAAAGACCGACTACACTGGCAAGATTTCGAATTTTTGGCTTTTTACGGCATTTTGCCATCAAAACCCCGATTTTGGATCCGATTACGCGATGTAATTTACCTTTTAGTTGATGGTTGCTCTGTAATCAGCTCGCGATATCGACGAAAACCCGCTGGCATTGACTATCGAGAAGTATACGATATTGTACGTTTTTCGAAGTTTTTAAAGGGCTTCGCAAGGCTGAAATCTATAAGCATTTTTTCGGGAATTTTTCTAACTAGCCAAAGAGGATTTTTGAGCCAAAAATATCCAAAATATTGGAAAATTGTCAAAAATTTGTAGATATTCAAATTTCAATTTTTAAAGGACCGCTGAAGGCAAATTCATTCACAAAATTTTAGGTGGGCGGCAATGAGTGCGAAATGTCGGCATCAAATACATCGAATTACTCGGCAATTCTCACTTTATTTAGCATGCTAATTCTCTTCAAAATATTTTAAATGTTTTTAGTATGTATTTTCAATTATGTACCCAGCTTATTAGATAATTCAAAATTTTGCCTAAATTAAATTGCCTAACTTTAAAGATTTATCAAATTCTAGTCTTTTGTTTCCTGTAAATCGGACCAACCCCCTCTGAAACTGTGATTTTTCCTTGATTGATTTTTTTTCAAAAAGGCAGGATTTTTTGTTATTGATCTGTCTTTTTTCTCTCACTCCATTTCCCCAAATAATTCAGGTGCGACACGGGTCTATGCAGTAATAAACATTTTACAAAAAAAAGAGAGCCTTATCCCTTGTAGTATGTATTCCAGCGTGCAAAAAAGTGTAGTTTGTAGCTCGGAATAACAGAAACATTTATTTTGTAACCCACAGATGAAAAAGGAGTTTGTAGCCGAGAAAATACAAGTTTTAAGAAAATTTGAAAAATGCTGTTGTTTGTAGCTCAGAAAATCACAAAATTTGTAATCTGAAGCCGCGAAAAATGTAGTTTGTAGCTCGTACTAAAACAAATATTTATTCTGTAGTCCAAAGATGTAAAAAAGTATTTTGTAGCTCAGAAAACAAAAAAAACTATTTTAGAATTAAATTAGTGCAAAAATGTCATCCAAAAATTTGTTTACAAAAAAACCGAATTTGTAGTTTGAAGCCAAAAAACGTAGTTTGTAGCGTCAGGTAGATGATCAGTTGAACATCTCGGAGTTGATGATGTTGTCGAGATCCCTATCGACAATGAGATTCCTTCTCTTCTCAACTCTGGGGGCAATCCGTTTCCACACTTCAACAAATACATACGGGTATTCTGCCTGCAACACAAGGGGGAATTGTGGCATTAGCGGGGGGGGTAGCTAGCAGAGACAATAATAAATACATACCTGTTCATCTTGAATATCAGCTGTAAATGCTCGATAGAGAATATTCAATTCTCCATCATCGATTATTTGATGGGGGAAATGAAGGAGAATAGCATGGCGGAATGACAGCACATTCACTGAGTAATCTTGCTGAAATGAATTGGAGTCTAAACGTGAAAAGGCTTCGAAAAATCGGTTAATTTACAGCATTTTAGCTTTTTACGCTTTCAAAAAGCCAAAATCCGAAGATTTAACCTGTGATTGTTGTCTATGAAATATTGATTGGCTGCCAGTTGGCAGGAACTCACCAAAAAATTGAATCATTAACCTTATTTTAGCATTTGAAACCTTAAAACATGCAGAAAATGCGGATTTTTAGGTAAAAAAAAGGTCTATTGATTAACTGGACCTACTTAAACAATCTGCAAAATGGCCTTTTTTGGTCATTTTTAGAGTGAAAAATACGTATTGGCTGCCAGTTTAGGTTCACCAAGAAAAATCGATCAATTTACACGGTTTTAGCTAATTAGGCAAGTTTTGACGTTAAAAACTGACCTCTTTCCGAATATGCCCGTCAGCAATGGCCTGACAAATACTGTGGAATGGTTGTTGTTTAGCCTCCTCGAAAAGACAGAATTGATCATATAATGGCCATTGTTCTCTGATCCATTCAGTTGTTGACACGTCGAATTCGAGCAGTTCACGAGGATCATGATGATCAGCTACAGCTGCTATATCTTCTCCATTCGCCAATAAATACGGCAATTGGGTGGCCAACAGAAGGAATGGGTGCATTTTAGGATGTTAGGGAAGGGGAATGAGAAGCGGAAGAAGACGAAGGAAAGAGCTACCAACATCTGCTCATCTACTGATAGCCAGATGGCATAATTCACCCTTCAAAAGTGCGTCACTAGGTTAGAAACATTGTTAATTACCCTAAATACCCTTCAAAAGTGCGTCAAATTGCCTTGATCTGTTCAAAATATCGATAACTTCTCGAAATACCCTGCGATTTGAAATTTTTGTTCTTTTAAGCGGTTGTATCTCGGCTCCCTATTCAGCTACAGGTCTGTAATGTCTACCAAAATACTCGCCAGATCAAGCCGAACATTTTGGTATACTTTACAGCCCTGTAGGCCAAGGGGGAGCCGAGATATAATTTCATGTCGTACGCGAATAGCTTGATTCGCTTCTCGTTCATGGGGGTACACAACCGCCCATGGGTTCGGTCCGGATGGCTCCCGGGAAAAGGCGTACGGTACTCGGTTCTTTTTGCGCGGTCCGTTGCGCGACCAAATGCGCGGGACCGGAGACTGGCAGGGACCCGGTCCCGCGCATTTGGGGGAGCGCCGGCCAAATGCGCGGGACCTGAGAATGCGCGGGACTTTGCGCGGCTCTCGCCGTCAACTGGCCCAGGGGCGCTTTTCCTCCTTTTAAAGCTCTTATATTACTTATTAAACCTGCGTTATGAGCAGGTATTACTGTGAGTAGATGGAGTATGAGTAGCTATACATTTATACCGGGGTAATGATACAAAAAAGTTTTAAAAGATTGTTTTCCGCAAGAAGAGTTGAGGTGCTGTCGATGAACCTAAGCTTGTCCTTAGCATTTGAAAACTAGCTTTTTATAACTGTTGACCCACCTCGTTCGAAGCGAGTGCCTAAGAATTGAGTTAAATACTATTTTGTTTGTTAGCTAATTTGTAGATAGATTCAGACTTACCGTATTGGTTCGACTTACGTTCGCATCACTAACGTTTCTGACTTACCGTGGCCATCCTATATTCGTTGGGGAGATAGTTGTTTCTGCCAACTTCTTTGCCTAAATTCTCCTGACAACAATAAGGAATTAGACTCAAATTTTAGTCTTACTTACTCCTGATCATACGCGTTTCTTCTTGGAATTATGCCACATGCCACAAATTACCGATACCGGGGCCTTTGACAGTGCATTCATTAACCTGAGAGCGCAGTTTTGTTGAAAAATAAATAAAAAACTTGCCGAAGCTAGACCATGGATCGTTTGTCATCAAAGTATCAGCATTTGCAAATCCTAAATTCCATGAAAATGATAAACCTCGCCTGATACCTCCGGTCTTCAGTGCAAAAAACAACATTGGTTCCAGCAAAGACACAAATATCTATAAATAAAACTAAATTGAACGAAAATACGCTAAAAGCCTCGAGTTTTCATTTAGTACGTTTAGAAACCATGCACGAAATGCGCGGGACCGCGCATTCTCCTTCCGCGACTAATTGCGCGTCAGAAAGCGCGGTCCCGCGCATTCAGCCGCGTCCCTCTCGCGCATTTTCCGAGAGCCGCGCATGGGGCCGCGCAAGCCCAACTCCCGCGCAACGGACCGCGCGAAAACAACCGAGTACGGGTTTTTGCCTGGGGCGCGAAATAGCAGCATGATTTTAGCTGCGCAGGCTTGCTTTCGCAATGGCGCGACGCGTCTATCGCACGCGTTGCGGTCTTTCTTGGTTTCCAATTCTACCGGACGTTTTATTAGGCGCCGGGCCGCTGTGGGTAATCGTCCCTGATTTTACCAAATATGGGCTCGGATTTCACCAAAAATAACGTCCTGTGAAGTTTGCAAGAAACAGTTAAACTAAGGTGAAAAACTTCAAAGCCTCATCACAAAAAAGTGCCAGAATAGATTTTCGGTATCGGGGTCTCAAAAGATGCGCAATTTTTCGTAGAACATTTTAATCTCATTTGTTTTTCAAAGTTTCTATGAAATTTGCGAGATAAATCGTCATTTATAGCAAAATTGGGGGATTTTTCCGCTGAGAGTGTACGACTTACACCGTCCGTGGACAGTTTAGCGCGTATAGGAGCGCCGCGTACCGATTTTCCGATCCGTGCCTTTTGCTTAGGAGATGGAATTGCGGGCAGATGACCTCTCAGAAAATCCTTATCTTACCGCTATTTCCATAATTTGAATTATTTCATCTCTTTCTTTTAAAAAAATCATATTTTTACCGCTTTTTACATAATTTTTAAACACTTTTCTATATTAACATTTTTTGATAGTTCCTTACAGAACCCCGTTAAATTGCAGGAAATGGATCTACCAGTGCATGTTCAACATCGTATCCTCGAAAACGTACCCCTGAAAACTGTCCTCAAAATGCGATGCCTTCACTCGACATTCGACAACTATTTCCGTTTTCACTGCAAAACCTGGAATTGTTTTTCCCTGGCCATCATTCGACGAGAAGAAAAGGTGTGATTTTTCACCCAAAAATATCATTTTTGAGCTCTGATTTGGAATTTTTTATGTCAAAAACTATTGAAAAATTTGTTGCTATTTTATGCTAGGATTCATAGGTATCGTATTATCTATTATCGCTATTTTCAGGCGGCAACCTTTTTCCAACTGGACTATGTACCCTTCGATCAGAAAAATTTTCGGAAATGTCGTCTCTTGACCCTCGATTCGTTGAGGATCACCGTCAGTTTTTGCACATCATTGTTACGAAACTTAAAGGAGCTCCGAAATTCCAAAAACTGGGCTACGGCCCGAAGGGGGGCCCTGTACGTCGGAGGCCTTCGCACACCCCAGAGGGCGGGGAGCGCCCGAATTTGAAATTCCCCGTTGTCACCTCCCTATCCCGTTCTCGGCTGTTTCTGGGCCAAATTTGATGATTAAAACACCAAAACTATTTAAAATTGAGTCAGGATTCCAGAAATAAGCTCAGAATCAGCGAATTATAGTGTTTTCACAAAGAAATCGAGCCAAAACAGTTTCTCAGCAAAAATCGATAGAGCGGGCGCTCTCGTTCCGCAGCGCCCGCTGGCAATTTGCCAGAAATATAAGGCCATTTCCAAAATGGCTTATATTTGACAATGCCGCGTCCCTTTAAGTTTGGTGCTTGTACAATATCGGGGGGGGGGGTATCAGGGAAAAAGATAATCTTTTCTCTCCGTCTAGTCGATGCGCCGTCTGGCCAAACTGTACAATGTGACTAAAATGTCGTATTTTGACTTGGAAATGTATCATAGGTGGACCGTTACACTATGCCGAAACACTACACTATGCCGTATTTCAGACGCCGCTAAATACCTTGAAAGAACACCCGGTTGATCTGGGAGGATTTGGAGGTCTTGTTGAAGCTGGAGGAGTACGAGCTCGAATGGTACAAATAACGGCGGCAAAGATTGATGCGAAGATTATAGAGATGATTAGGTGAGAGAGACAGTGAGAGAGAGAGTGAGAGAGATAGGGAGAGAGTGAGAGAAACAGAGAGAGTGAGAGAGAGCTAGGGAGAGAGAGCGAGAGCGAGAGAGTGAAAGAGAGTGAGAGCTCTATTTTTCAGGAATGCCCGCCCAAAAGTTATCCATGTAAACGCGGCACCGAATTATCGGGGCGATTCTGAGCTACGAATCCCGTCATCTTGCGGGAAAGTGACTATCAGCATGCAACGTAATCGCGTTGATCTGACCGAAGCCACAAGGTTGAAGACGATCTTCATTGAAGGCGCCCGGCTGGAGAAGATCACTAGCGAGACGACTACGGTAATTATATTACTGGCATGCAGATTATTCCATTTTTTCGGCCTTTTGAAGGGCCCGGAAGTCAAAAACTGGGAAAAGAACGAAAAGCTTACTGCCGAGAAGAACCAGAAAATTGAATTGGTCGCGAAAAACGTCAAATATTTGAGTACAACCGAAAAATTCTCGGGGGGAAACGACATTTTGAGTTGGCGACGATTACATGTCGTAACGCCTTGTAAGGCATCCAATCTCCCGATCGCGGTGATAACAGAATTTTCTTTTGCCTCTGTTTGGACGTGATGACGCTTGAATTTCCAAATTCTGACGCTATTTCTGGGATCATCCGCACATCTTGATCATTCTAGACTTTTTAAGTATGAAAATTGACTCGAGAATCACCGAGATTGGGTGTCTTACAAGGCATTACGACATGTAATCGTCGTGCACTCAAAAAGTCGATTTCGCCCCGAGGGAATTCGAGTTTTACTCAAATATTGTCCGTTGTGTCGCAACAACGTCACTTTTCCGGTACTTCCGGACAGTAACCCTTTTGTTTTTTGACCCGTAGGTTCAATCCCCGCACGCACGAATTTTCGCTTCCGAGCCCCTTTAACCAAGGGAAACCCAAAGAAATTGTAGGCGATTCTCGACGAACTTCGCCTGGGGACAGCGACACGACAGATGGTGGATGGAATGATTGAAGAACTGAATAGTGGAGACCGGAGTATTCCATGGAGATATGTGGAGACAGACAGCCGACATTACATTAACCACACCAATGCCACTTTCTTCATCACAAAACGACCATCGGCGGGCGAATAAATAATTCACGTTTAGTCCCATTTTTCATTACTTTGATACGGCAAAGAGACAACAGCTATTTTGAAGATAATTGACGCTATCGAGCGATATCGATTTAACATTTAAAATTATGCCTTAGAAACGAAAAAAACCTCTTTGGTAATAGCAATAATTGGGGGAAAAACTGAAAAAAGACCAGAACTACCAAATATAAGGAAAAGAACCTTCAGTTTCGACGCTTGCGCGGAGGTTGGCCCAGTAATCGAATACAAACTGTTTCCACATCGATTTAGTAATTTTGAGCTACAGGGTGTCACATAAAAAAGCACCCCTCCGGCATTTCGCCGTATTACATCCGATCGGTCCCAAATTTGGACCAGAGGTGTATCAGACCCTAAATAACCACAATCCTGACTTATAGCCCGCCAGCTACAGTAATCTTCGAGATGCAACAAAAATAAACTTTATTATCCGTTTTTCATACGGTTTTCGTCGAAATCGACCCTTCGAATATTAAGTGAAAATGAAGCGGCAAGCCTGCTTTACCCCAGAGATTTTTTCTGATAAAAATTAGTGAAATAACCGTTGATTTCAACAATTTTTGTAACGCAAAGTCACCCCCGATATTAGGGATTCACAGCCGGAAGTCGATGCAAATCGATGCAAAGTCGAAAAAGATAGCCGAAAAAACTGTTAAGAACCGCGTAAAAAACAGTATTTTGACGATAACTCGAAAGCTACTGTAGCGATCGGTCTATAACTCAGGATTGTGGTTACTTATGGCCCGATACACCCTTGTGCAAAGTATTGGACCGATCGGATGTAATACGGCGAAATGCCAGAGGGGTGCTTTTTTTTTGGGACACCCTGTATATTTGAAGTAGAAAAACCTTCAAACAAAATTCAAAAATTTTGTCACTTTTGGGTCGAAGAAAAATCAATTTTTCGTCCCAAAACTGAATTTTAAGCTGAAATTTGTTAAGTTTTTCTTCTCAGGAATCGTTAAAATCAGTGGACAAACACCTCGCCATTTATAAAAGTGAAATTTCATGGCATAATTGGCATAATTGGCGCAATTATCGATTGAACATTTCAAAGTATGCCCGCCTGCTGGTGGTTGTATGGTAGCAGATGCGGCAACAAATTCCCTAACACTGACCCAGATCCATCGAATTAGACCCCCCCTTTTTTTCACATTATTAGAAAGCTTTTTATAGAGGTAAACGGCCTGAATTTTGAATTATCAATTTCTATTTACATTACAAATCTCAGAATTGCAGGAATGGATCTGCCGTTCGATGTGCAAAATCGTATCCTCGATGTATTGAATCTGAAATCGATCGCGAAAATGCGTGCTCTCCACAGTTCCATCAACAACTATTTCCAATTACGCTACAAAACGTGCCAATGCTTTTCTGTCAGCCTATATCGTCAAATGGAAGGGGTAAATGGACAGTTCCCTCGGAATCTCGATTCACTTCCACATCGGATTGTTGCTACAAAAAAAAAGTTATATTTTTGTAGGAGGAGCCAAAGCGGCGTGTGTCGGATACAACAACACTGAAGATTGATGGCGGTTGCCCAACGCGTAGTGAATTGTTAAAATTGTTTGGTGATGATCGCCATTTCAGGATTGAGATGTTTACAATCACGGTAATTTATGTTGTGCATGAAATTAAAACCATCATTGCAATTTTTTTTTCTGGTGGATCGAGTACGGGGATCATTTTCCCGACGTCTAGGATAAATCTAGGATTATTATTCTCGACAATAACTATTTTGGGCGGTTCGCCACAGGGACGTGTGTGGCGGGCTCTCTTTTACTGTGGTCTTTTTAGTTAAAGGGGCTACGAAATGCCAAAAATTGAGTTACGACCCGAAAACGCGAGCCCTGTACGTCGGAGGCCTCTGTACGCCCAGGGGCCGGGAAGCGCGCAAAATTTGAAATTGCCTGTTGTCACCGCCAACACACGTTCTCGACTGTTTCTGGGCCAACTTTGATGATTAAAACGCCGAAACTATTTAACATTGAGTGAGGATTTCGGAAATGGGCTCAGGATGCGCGAATTATATTGTTTTTACAAAGCAACCGGGCAATTTCAACAACTTCGCGCAAAATTCGAAAGAGTGAGGGCTCTGGTCGCGCAGCGCCCGCTGGCAATTTGCCAGAAATCAAAGAGACCTCGGAAAAGGGCTTTGATTTGGCAGTTCGGAGCCCCTTTAATGTGTAGGGACATTATTCCGATATAGCACGCTTATCGTAAGAACGATAGTCGTGGACTCGATACCGGCGTGGCACACCGGATAGGAGAAGTGAGGAGCCACCCTTGAGTCGCTCCCTCCCTTATCCCAAACTCGGCCTCCGGGCCCCCTCTCCCGACTGCGCCTCCCGCCAGCTGCGGGCTAGCTACAGACTCGGAGAGGGAAAAGCCCGGGAGGACTAACTAGCAAGAGTTTTAGGCCGCCACAGACGTGGTTGATGTGGGAGATGTGGGACGGTTTGCCGATGAGGGACGAGTACGGGCACGAATCGTTCATTTATCTATGGTGAAGGCAGACGCGCCGCTAAGGAATTTAGTCAGGTGGGAGACAGAGGGAGAGCGAGAGAGAGAGAGAGACGTCCCTCTATGCTGTTTTTCCAGGAAACTTCACCCGAAATTCCTCCTAATCAACAGCCTATCTGGCCTTGAGGGAATGTGGGTGTCTATCCCTCCCTCCTGCCAGAAAATGACGGTTAACTATCCACGAGACCGCGGCCCGGAACATACGAATTTGTGGGAATGGGTCCAAAAGCACACGACGCTCGATCTAACCGAGGCCACAGGACTCAAACAAATCATTATCAACCATGTCAAGGCAGAGAAATTGACTTCGGAAGAGGTTACGGTAGGTGGATTACGGTATTTTACACGGTTTTTTGCCCCCCCAGAACGATTAGAACTAAAAGAAAATTGTAGAAAATGCTGGATGAACTTCGCGTCGGGACCCAGACAAGATTGACGGTTATTGGGATGATGGATGAATTGAATAATGGATCAACAACTCGTCCACTTGAATGGGAATATCGAGAGACGGACACCCGTCATTATATCATTCATCCAAGTGTCAATTTCTTTATCACAAAACCTTGAGCTTGGATAAATAAATAATCGGCATTTTGCTCGCATCGCCTTTTGGGTTAACGATAAAACAACAAGGATTTGAACGACGGTGGCATAATTGACGCAATTTACCATCGAACATGTGAAAATGTCTATTAGTGGTTGCACATTAGCAGATGCGGGAAATCATCACAAATCGCCCTTTTGTCCGCTGCCCAAGACTACTACTTTCATACCATAATCAAATACCTTAAATCCCCGAGTATACTCCCCGGTGCATTATTCCGGGTGAAAATACGGAGCGTCAGCAAATCCGTATGACCGTAAATTGGCGCGTTTCGTTTTTCGGTTTCTTTCTATCGAAGAAAGAGAATTTTGCAATTTGCATTGAATATTTGTTCCCGTTTCTACTATTTCCATCATTTTAAGTGGTTTAATGCAAGAAATTGATGCAGGAATTCCTGAGAACCGCTTTTTTATGGATTAACAACCCATCGACTTGACTGGCAATATAGAGAGGCACGCAACAGTCATTACATCATCCATACGATGGTCACTTCTTCATAAAAAACCCCACAAATTGAGCGGATAAATCAACGCTTTTTTTATTCACAACAAATAAATAAACGAGTGTGTTTTGGTGGTTTTACGGCTTTTATTTTGTGTAACTCAGCCGTAACCGTAACCGGAACTCAACGGTCCCATGTCCAATTTTGACGATCACAAGACCTAGGAACATCCACTCCTAGAGCGCTATCGATTGGCGTTTAAGGTATCGCACGCAAACTGCGTTATGCAAGGATAAATCCGCAAAAACTTTGACCCCGTTTTTAGGAAAATTTCTTGGAGCTCTCGACGTCCCAAGGTCTACCAAACTATCTAAAAAAAAGTGCAAATTGGACGTGATTGCTCGTTTTAAAAGCCTTTCAAAGATTTTTTGCCATGACTTTCTCTCCAACCTGATACAAAGGGGTCCGGAATGGCTTTGATTAGTTCAAAATTTCCAAAACGTGCTCTCCACTCACGCAGAAGCAATAATATCTCTCCAGCATTAATGGTAGGTTGAGGCACAGAAATTGATTATTTTTCGTCGTCTAAAAGCTTCCTTATCATCGGCAAGTTATCACAGTTCTATTAGTGTGTCCTTGGATGGAACAGATGCGTTGGATGTCCTTATCTTACATGTATTTTCTAAAGTTCGAATTATTTTCATTATTTCTCGCCTCTCTTTTTCTTTCAAAAATCAGATTATTACTAATCAGATTCAGATTCTCAATACTTTTCTATAATAATTCTTGGATTTCCTTACTAATGCCGTTAAATTACAGGAAATGGATCTGCCAATTAATGTTCAACATCGTATCCTCGAGAAAGTACCCCTGAGAACTCTCTTCCAAATCCGATCCCTTCACTCGACATTCGACAACTATTTACGATTTCACTGCAAAAAATGGCGTTGCTCCTCTCTGGCCATTTATCGGCTCATTGAACAGGTACCGCTAATTTTGCTCCCAAAAATAATACAATTTTTGATAACAAATATTTCAATTTTTTTTTTCAGGAGTGAACCCTTTTCCAACTGGACAGTCGGGCAATCGGTCAGAAACACTTCGAGAGGTGCCGGCTCTTGACTGTCCATTTAATGACGGTAACCGTGAGTTATAAACATCATTTTCATAAGATTCGTTTTAGGCGCCCCGTATCACGTTGAGTGAACCGCCAATTGACCTGGGAAAACTCGGAGCTCTTGCTCAAGCTGGAAGAGTTCGAGCTCGAATCGTGCAAATAACGGCGGCAAACATTGATGAGAAGACGAGGGAAATGATAAGGTGAGAGAGAGAGAGGCAGAGAGAGCAAGAGAGCGTGAATGAGTGAGAGAGAGAGAGAGAGAGAGAGAGAGAGAGACAGATACAGTCC